CGGGCTTTTCCTGATATGCCAACAGAATTATTCTTGCTTTGGCCGTCTGACCAAAAATCTGCCGCAACATACCAAGTAGACGGGCTCCACGTGCAAGCTGCGCTGTGCTCAGCTGGTGGTTGGGAATCGCATCAAGACAACTGGCTGAAAAACGAATTTCATGGGCAAATTCATGATTGATCAGGCCAACCCAACTTACTAGGTTTTCTACAAATGATTCGATGCCCAAAATTTCATCCAAGCGTGTGCGCCATTTCGATGAATCCACTGAAGGCATGGCGGGCAGCCATCGATCTGACTTGGCCAATGCATCAAGTCCGACCGAAGCTCCCACTGTCTCCGAGCCAGCTTGGTTCATGACCCGGGCCTGACTGCTCTCCACACCTGGAATGCGCACAGCTGGATTAGTGGCTGTTGGGGCACTCGACAAGTCACCAAAACCAAGTCCTCCGCCAAGAGGCGAAGAGAATGGGCTGGACAAACTCTCGATCTTCCTGGAATCTGTGGCGTGCGAAGTCGGATCAACAGGCGTGTTGCTACCTGCAGGGATTTGTGCTGCTGCATTCTGCGCAGCACTTTGCAAGGAATTCAATTGAACCTGTTGACTTTGAAACGCTTTGCTGGCAGCAAGAAGGGCTGACTGTTGTCCCTTCATCTGCTCAACTACAGTCTCCAGATTCTTTCCCATATTCACTAAGTTCGCTTGGAGTTCATGAACCTGCTTCTCAAGCGCAAGAGTTTTGGCATCTGGCTGCATGGATCCAAGGGACGGAACAGGCAACGATCTGTGACGCTCAGAGACCATCATTGGGCGACCACTTTCGATCCTTTGACGCGATCTCCCACGGTCATCAAGTTCACGAGACCGCTCCCTTCCAGAGGCCATGGCTGCACACCGGAAAAACTGGTTGTAATTCTATGTTGTCCCTATTGGGGGCGTTGTCCCAACTGAAAACTGGATCAACTACTTTCTGAGCACCACGTGCTCCGCTACCATGCGGAATTTAACAGCCCCAGGGGATAAACAGTAGGTTGTCAACCAGATACCTTTCAAGATCTTAAAATGTGAGTTCTTATGATGTCACTCCCAGTGAAATCTCTGTTCTGATCTTTTCCATAATCGCGGTGTGGCCCTTGAGCCAGATTCCGGGATGGAATTCATTATTCCATGGACAGCACATCCAGCCTTTGGCAGGATGAAAAACTGTTTTCTTTGCATCAGTTTGGGTTAGATCCAAGTCCTTCAGTTCTGTTCTCTCACAGCCTACTCACTTGGAAATTCTTGTCGACCCAAACGTTGACCTAATTAGCACCTTCTATGGTGCAAAAGTTGGTGTCAAGCAATTTCTTCTGTGTCACATGCAAAACAATGAGTGAACAGCAGTGAACGAAATTTGCAAATCAGTCCAAATTTAAAGTGGATCTAAGTGACAAATTCTGAAACTATGTCTCACAGTTCTTGGCTGAGATGGTCATTCGCTCAGACACTTGGCTTGTCTACTTTCCTGCTATCACTACGTTTCCACCACTTCTCAAGTGGCTCTTTCTGCAGTTCAGAACATTCAAGCAAACATTTGGTTCCACCAAATGTGAAGATTGCACAAAACCAAAAAAAACGGAGAAATATGTGCAACTGATTATGGCTTCGCAAATTAAATCCGAGATCACAACTGCGAGACTCTCTGAACTGAGTGCACGGGCACAATCCAAATAAATCGCACTGCGCTAAGCACTATAGGTCAATGCTCGGATGCTTGTAGTTACATGTGGTTGCCGATGGCTTCTGAAGACAAGCAAATGGCATAAAGTCTAGAGTGTTGGAATCGGTTTCTCTCACATTTTCCACAACTGTTCTCAGTTGTGAGCAGCTTTCCCATCTGAAAGTATTTCTGACTGTCGCAGTGGAGCACGCACTCCCAAGAAATTTAGTTCAAGCTCTCGTGACATCTGCTGCACTAAGTTTATGTCTACCGACGGATACATCAAAGATGCACAGACATTATCAAACTAAACCTCTATGGAATGAGATCCTCACTCTTTGCACTGCACCTTTGGATTCACAATTCCGGCAGGAATTGTGCAAAACTTGGCTTATCACTGTCCAAAAATCAACACTCTTTCTCAGGAGAAAATTTCGTGTGTTCTGCACCAAAAATCAACTGTGCTTTGGCGTTTTTGATCAAGAAAATCATTTCAATTGGTGTTGAGCACCAAACGGCATATGCTTCATGAATTTAAGCCTAAGCGGCTGAGATTTTGGATCTGAAGCGCTGACACGATTGTTAACATGCACCTCTGTCCCAGATGGTGCATTATATTCACATCATCATCATCATCATCGTCATCATCGTCATCATCATCGACATCATCATCGTCATCGTCCTCTCCATCGTCCTCGTCCTCGTCATCATCATCATCATCATCATCATCATCGTTATTCAATTACATTTTATCATTATTGGCAATTATTGTCATTATCATGAAAGCTAGCGTCAGCTCGCTAGAGTCTTATTGCTTTAGCACGTATTCCAGGGCTCCCCAAGGACATCACGTGATTTTTCCCGCGAAAGGGCCCCCCCTGCCCCCTCCCCCATATATATCATTGTTATATATCATATATCAATATATCATTGTTGCATCCTCGTTGGGACGAACAATGCCGCGACACGATGATGACAGTCCCTCCGCAACTCACCTCTTCCCTTCCTTCTTTCTCCTACCCCGCTAGCTTTCGTCATCCACCCCCGGCCTCAAGTACAATGTACCCACTTACTGATTTTAAAGTATTGTGATATCCGGAGATAATATTTGATATATTTGGATGTATATATTGGTATATGTGATGATAATGATGGAATAATGTCAAGCCAAAGTAAAGCCAACCATAATCGGGTTATTAATGCGGTTTTTTCATGGAGAGTGATGTGTGTCAGCAACAACCTTGCCCAGATATCATGGGAATCGATCTTGCCCAGATATCATGGTGCAAGCATGTGCAGATACATGGACGGCTTTGTCATTGTGCATACGAATGGGTTGCCATGTTGGCTGGCTATGGTCTGGAGACGCTTTCTTTGAATACCTCCAGTGTCATCAAGCGCTTCGTTAGCTGGGAATCCCAAACTCGGCCATTTCCATGGGACAAACATCAAATGGGAGATTTTCCGTTGCCTTGTTTGACTACCTGACCACCAGGGGGTAGGTTTTACTTGAGATGAAGTTTTTGGTCACGACATGGCGTACTGTGGGAAAATGACGATCATTGTTCCGGGTGTTCGATTTTGACGCCTATAGAAATAAAGTAAAGTACGTATTTATTTTATTAATATGCATTATGCATACAATGGGAATTAATAGGACAAAAAGATGGGATTTTGATGGAATTTTAAGAGAGGTATACCCTCTGGTAAACTAACATAGCTATGGAAAGCCACCATTTTTAGTGGGTAAATCAACTATAAATGGTCATTTTCAATAGCTATGTAACAAATTACCAGAGGGTATATCCCATTAAATCCCATTAAATCCGATTAAACCACCATTTTCCTATGGTTTTCCTATGGTTTTCCTATGGTTAGTTTACCAGAGCGTTGCTAACCTTTGATAGCCTCCCAGCTCCGGCGATCATTTTCATTTCAAGCACAGAAAAAAACGGTTAGAGACCCGGTCAGCCGGTCGAAGACGTTGGCATAACGGTTCGGCTGCGAGTATGGATCAATATTGATTGTATATCCAATGTTATATACTTGGTGGTTCATTCCACTTAGTAAGTGGGTTATAACCCCAGTGAATTCAGTGGATTAACCCTACTTATCCCATTTATAACTGGGGTTATAACCCACTTACTAAGTGGGATGAGCCACCAAGTAGTAATATCGAAAGTAAATAGATACCCCACATATGGTCTTGTTGCTATGTTGACCATTAACAAAAATAACAGCCCTTTTTCGACCAAGAAAAACGGTGACTTCTGTGGGTCACCTCCTTTGTTGGTACATTATATATATATGACTTATAAATGTGAAATAAGTTAACTAGTTATAGAAGTATATACTGTATGATATATATATATATATATATATCTATGATATATGATATATATATATATATATCAGTTGGTTCGCTTATGATGAAACAACTATAGTTAGATTTAGATGGGTTTATAAACCAACTTAGCTAACTAGGCCCACCTTGCACTAATCCTCGTGTTTTGGTTGCTAGTGATACTTGAGGGGGTGCCTACCAGCTGTGATCAGCCTTGAGCAACTGAGTAGTGGACATAAGTGCCCTACTCAGCTTATTTGTTGGTTTTTGTTGGGAAATCCCCAAGTTATTGTTAGGTGAACACGGTCAAGTGCCCCACGCTGACAACATATCGGCACGTTTTTTCACCACGACGCACGACATTTTTTGGAGCCAGTTGGGATCTGGGATGTCAGTGGTTCATGAAATCCATGAGGATTCATGAGGATATCCATTAAAAGGATTATTGTTATGGGATTGTGGAGCAATCGTAGAAAAAACCATGTTTTGACCATGGTGCATATGCGTAATACAAAATAGCCAGTGATATATATATATACATATCATACATATATATACACACTATTTTATATATTCACTTTTCTATTTATGTAGATAATAGTGTATATGTATACATATATATATATACATGTATGTATCGATCATGAATTGTCCAGTACCGGTCCACATCCAGAAATACTGGCGAGACAACATCACAGGTTAGACTCCCCCTATCTGCTGACGATTTGGCAAATATTTTCCCATTGGTGGAAAATCACCAAATTCACCAAATTCCCGGGTAATCTCCTATAGGCTATAGGAATTTATGGATTACCCTCTGGTTATTTAACATAGCCATGGTATAGATGGCCCATTTATACATGGTTTACCTATTGAAAATGGTGATTTTCCATGGCTATGTTAAATAACCAGATGGTATTTAGATTGCACTGGACTCCATGATGCACCAGATTAGTGCCAACACTCGGCTGTGCAGGGTCTGTATCTGACCCCGACCCCTTTCCGCATTTAGCAGCTTTCCGTCATTGTGACTTCAATGGATGCCTCAGAATATGTGATGGAGGCAGGTTTTGAAACTTCGCAAGTTTCACGAATATGGCTGTGCCTGAAAATGGGGTAGACCAATACCCCACCCAACTAGCCATCTAGATGGGAACATGATTCATCACTGAATCCTGGGGCCCTGGCCTATTTTCAGACACACCAATATGACAGCAAGATTTTTGCGTTGACAGGTGACGCTTGTGTTCTCCAAGGTGGTGACAAAAAGAGTGCAACAGCCAGCAATTTTCGCCAGATTTTGAGCCCCCAGAGAGATGGAAGATTGTGCCAGTGTGTGTGTGTGTGTCTCAGCCGCATGAAATTTTACCAGGAAATGGAGTGTGACATATGTTTTGAGCATTTCAAAGCTTGATTTTTTGGATGCCAAGACCATTTCATAGCATTGAATTCGATTGTGGAAACGTCGTGTCTCCATGTGCCTGGGATTCACAACGAGCCGCTGGCATCCATGACTCTGTATCTAATTTTAGATTAAAGGGGTTGAAGACATATCATTTATCTATCATTTTTGATATCTATATCATGATATCTTTAAACATATATCATATTTCTATATTTTTTATATTATGATTCATGATATCTATATTATTTCTATATTTATATCATGTTATATCTATATCAACAAATCGGTTCATCATTCTCTCTCTACTGTGCGATATTTGGAACGATGTCCGTTTTGGAAAGACCCAAGGATCTGGGCGTGACCAGCAGCCAGATCGCCTGACAGGTGGCTTCTCCATCAGCGCCGCCATGCGCGTCGCTGCTGAGGGAAAAAAAGACAATGCCTTCCAGCATCTTTCACCAGAACAGCTGATATATGCTGATATCAATTGATTGATTTGAACATCGGAAACACAAGCCATTTTGTGTCCTATTTGTGGTTAAAACAACGATGGTTTCCTGCAGATGTTCAGCTTGTTCACCAAACGATTTTGATAGCTGTGGAAGCTGCCCCCATAGATCCGCTGCATCGCCAAATATTGCACCACCGCAGACATCGGCCTAGGGCCTATAAAAAGAACATCATGAAAATGAAGCCTGGTTACTTCAACGGCTTTCCAAAGCATTCCATATCTGCATCGACAGACATGTTGAAAACAAAACCTGGATCGACAGATGCTGAACAAGTGGATTTGATCTCGCGACCTTATGCGATTTGATGAGACATGATTGCATTGAAGGGTTTGTTGGCAAGACATGTCTGAAGCAATCTGCCAACATCACCTGCGTTCATTCAACACCATGGCTGAAGTAGTACCATTGACTGCAGGGAAGCCCGGTATTTTGCTCTGAATGTGTCATGGGAAAATCAGAAAAATGGGAGATTTTCCAGCCACGTTTGATTATTGGAGGCTACGGCCACCATTAATATTCCCCCGCAGGCGGGAAGCCTCTTATCGCCAGCCACTAAATATAGGACTATACCCATGAAACGGATACTGCACCAAGATCTTGTATTTGAAGAGGTATTATGAAAAGTAAGCTTATCTCGGAATGATATGGAATTGTACAACCAATGAGACACGGTATTTGACCAAGATACCCTTTGGAAATCTAGCCTAAGTCCCTATGTATGGAAAATGGTCTGTTTGTAGATGATATACCTATTCAAAATGGTGGGTTTCCATTGCTATGTAAATAATTACATGATGATATATAAATCTTCTTTCGTTGTGGAAAGCTTAGGCCTACGCGCAGAGCCGCCGTTCGCAGTTCATTGTGGTGAGTTGTTACACACGAGCCTTGGCGGCCATTGTTCGTGACTGGTTGATGGTTTCACACATTTAAACATGTTTTAGCCATGTTTTGGCATGATGATGATGATGATTATTATTATTATTAGTATGATGCTGCTGCTGCTGCCGCTGATGATGATGATGATGATGATCACAGCGACTCAGTGTTTTGGAACGGATTAAAACAATCAATCGGATCATTTTGTGATGGATTTGTTTGTTTTATCGGTTTTGATTCTAGAGGTTTCACTGCATCAGTGATGGTATACCAATTTGTTTCCATAGTTTTCCCAATTTGCAATGCTATCCTCAGAATGATCTGGGTAAATCGGTGAATGGTTGATTAATAGTCAGGGTGCCATTAATGAAGGAATACTATTTCAGACTTAGATTCTTCCGGTTGCCGGGTATTTAAGGTCAGCCATGTGATGGTTTTTGATGGGAGGGAAATGGGAAGCTTGTAGGAAAGGGATCTCAGAGGTGGTGTTGAGCTGCCCAATGACCCACTAGCTCCATCTCTGGTAACAATGGCCAAAGTATAAAGTTGGGCAATTTTCAGTCGGATTTTTTGTAGATTTATATCCCAGTACCAGTGGTAAGGATGCAGCAGGAGCTCTTCATCGGTTCACCCTGACTCTGAATCCGGCACCTGGATTGTCACGTATTCAAGTATTCTAATAGTGATAGGAATAGCAACAGGAATAGCAACCGTATGTAATAGCAATAGATAGTAATAGCATGTAATAGCAATAATAGTAATAGTAATAGTAATAGTTCAAAGTTCAAACCATGTCCCTATTTGGACAGATTATGATAGATTATGTTGCTTCCTCACGCCGCCTTTCGTCACGATGTAAATTTACAAACTCGGGGCCTGAGGTTTTGACAACCTCGCCCATGGCCCCCGCGGCCGAGAGGCTAAGAAGAGGCCAAAATTTGTGTTCTCTTTTCCCCTCCGGGCCGGGATTGTTTAAAGACATCAAGGAGCGAAACGTGGAGGTCTAGATTTTCCGAGTACTGGAATTTTGCATCTGCAAATGTATCTAAGATATTCTAGGATTACATCAAACAAATATTTCATATGTACCATGAATTTTTACATAATATATTTATTATATATTATATATATATATACATTACATAATATATATGTATATAATATATATATATATATACAGTATGATATCAATGGTACCTAATGTTGTTGGAAATCATTGGCAACCATGAACCAGCAAATAAGAGCAGTGTGCAAAAAGGGTCAATGGCTCCATTCCCAGTATGTATACGAGTTCATTTATCCATGAAGAAAAACGGCGTATGGATCCAAAACTGAACCAGCGCACACAACAGGGGTGGACCCTTGTGCTATGGGGTCCCAGTACCTGCTCTCGTGATTTTGCCAAATGTGGGAATCCCAGAATCCCCTCAGAATCCGGAAGAAATCTGCAAGAGATTCTGAAACTCTTCGGCAAAGTGACCCGAAAAAACCGACCCAAGTTCGACCCCGGCATTCCCTGGTCGCCTGTGGAGTCTCTACACTTTTTGGATGGACACCAGCGATGGGTCCATGGTGCTACTTTCTGTGGTGAAGGTGCCGCTGGGATGGTGATGTTCTCATGGTTTGGGGGGTTCCATCAATAGGGGTACCCCCAGTCATCATCCATTTTTGTTTGGGATTTTCCCTTTTAAACCATCCAGCTTTTGGGTATCCCCATGACTATGGAAACGCCCAACTAAATCCTTTTTGGCACCCCCGCGCTGGAAGATGTAGTTGGTCAGAAACTTACCCTCCGGTAAACAAGCATAGCTATTGAAAATCACCATTTTTAATGGGAAAATCAACTATAAATGGCTATTTTCAATAGCTATGTTAGCAATTACCAGAGGGTAAGTGTTTTTCCAAAGAGAAAACCAACTGCCCCTGGCAGCGCAGCCAGGAAGATTGCATGAATCCAGCTTTCTCCCGCTGGTATTCAAGGCCGATCGAGCTGGAGATGTTCCAAGATATCCACAGTGTGTTTTGGTTCGCTCTCATTCAGGTGGAGATTGAATGATGTCTAACTACTCGGACATACATCTGGGTAAATTATAACGACCTCACTACGACCAAATGGCCTTAATTCAGATTAGTGAATTATTATAATTTGCCCAGATACATGTTTTCCAGAGTATTTGGATAAACACATTGATGACATTGATACTTTAGTCGATTCTTGGATATGGTGTGTTGCAAGTAAAACAAATCATCAACATATCACTCATCCAAGATTGCTGTTTCATCTGATTCACCCCTTTTCCAATGTTAGAACTTGCTCATGCGGCGGCTCACAGTTGTTCCCTAACATGGGATGGTTCAGTGGGTCGAATCCAAACATCAGTAGACAAAAAATTGGTTACAACCTCCAAACGATTGTTGCTTAGGTGCCCTGTCGTTGTTTCTCTTGTTGGTCAAGTGGTCAAGTGCTCTTTGTTTGTCAGTTTCGCTTGCAAAAGCTGCTGCTGTTGCTCCTGTCTTTTGCAGGCATTTTCTAGCTAGTGATTGAAGACAGGAGGTACGGTTACCCAACGCAACAAACACTGCGACAGGTGTCAAGAGAAGGCATCCAGATTCTGGGTGATTCTCTTAAAAGCCCGCTTTTGATCTACCACTTGCCAGGTTTCGAATGGCTCAATTGCCTACTACTGTAGGCTCCTAGAATTTGGATGTCTTGTCTCGTAAAGGTACTGATTTATTGTTTTATACTGACTCAACTCTTTTGCACTTTAAGTGAAAGACAAGGAGTCTAAAGTTCTCCCGACGGAGCCTCTGGATCTAACCTGCAGAGAAACTTTTGCAGTCGATTATGGGGCAGCTGACTTTGATTTGGGGACATCACTGTTAGGTCTGAATTGAACCATGTATTTCTTCATATCCTAGTGCTCCCCATAGTTAGAACTCCCTGGGAAGTAAAACTATATGTTATTGCATAGTTAGTACAAGATAGGACCAAAACCATGCAAAGTTAATCAACAATATCGACATACGAACGTAAATCAACACGTGCTCGCCGAAGAGGTTCCAGATAATACTGATAAGAATCAAATTCCTTCTTCCTTCACTAAGAAGTCAATTGTCCAATCATGTCCAATCTGTAGCGTCGCCCCAATACAAACATCAAACTTAAATTTGGATGATCTATGATCCATGATCTAGATCCTGAGATTCCAATTCGATTGCTGACATTTAGAGGCTGTTATTTTTGCCCCTTTCTCGCCATGACAGGCGCAATGTGATGTACACATGTCCGCAGCTGAGATACCTAGGGGCGGTCCTTAAGGGATTGCCATGGATTCAGACTCCTATTTTTTCGGGACTCCGATTCGAGAGCTTAGCTCTAGGAGATGATGCGCTTTCTTTTCAACATGGTTTTACATGCTAAACATCAAAATATATTTTTTGTCCCTTCATGTCTCTGAAAAGGTCCCTTCAACTGATTCAACTCTCATGGTTTTGCTGGGATTTGGGCGCGGCTTAAGCTGCAAATTGCTGGGGATAGGCCAGCCCGCCAGACCGATAGTAGGGACCCAGGCCTTGGGCGCTCTTTTTGCATCCAAAAATGGACGGCCAGAGATCCGGGTGGATCTTTAGTTCCTGTGGTAATTTAACATAGCTATTGAAAATGGCCATAGAAATAGTGAGTTTTCCCATGAAAAATGGTGATTTTCCATAGTCATGTTAGTTTTAATGGGAAAATCAAAATTTTTCATGGGAAAACTCACTATATAAATGACCATTTTCAATAGCTATGTTAAATTACCAGAGGGTAGTTCCTGTGGTTGAATATGCCAATATTTTTGTGATTGTGATTATTGTTAAGACCACGGTTCTTCACTTCTTACTTGAGTTGATATCCCGGATGTTCCTCCCCACATTCAAAAAGAAACGTGCCTACACGGCTACACGGATCATGCTTCTCATTGGAGAGTCGTGCCTCTAAACTTGTGCGGTATTGCCATATTCCTGGTGGTTGATTTTCACTGTGTGCTTCTTTAGCCTAAACCACTTTTTGAAAATTTCTGCACAGTACCATCCCATTTTGGGATCGCCCATCACCTTGGGTTAACTCATCTAGGCACGGAATCGGTGGCTGAGAATGGTTTGATCGACACCTGGAGTGTAGCGGGCTCAGGGGCGTAGGAGCAGCACTGGGCAATAGGGAAACACAGGGCAACTACTTTCAGCCGTGGAGCCCAAAACTGGCCCATGTCTAAATGGGAAAATGTCTTTTCCAAACCTCCAATTTGGCCTTCATTTGGTACCAAAATTTTGGATCATTTGCCTGTTGTACGCAGTTTTGCTGATACCTTGACCCAAAAGTGTGTGCAAAACGGCTTCAAAACCTGTCAAAGGAGCGCAAAGACATGTCAAGACCAGAGGTTGTCTCTTGTTTGGTGCAACGGGACTCAACGGCTTTGTCGGAAAACAAGGGGTTGATAATCCTTTCCCTAGAAAAATCATTAAACATGTCCGTTTTGGTGGTCCTAATCTTCAGACTCAAGCGGGCAAAAATACCCTTGAAACTCAGAGAATTGGATTCGGGGAATCCCCAAATGGCCCAACATTTCAGCTATTTTCAGGTGAACTAGAAAATAATTCAGCCAGGTAGTATGGATTCAAATGATATCCCAATCATTCTCCTAATCAATCATGATCCCAAGGATTTCCATCATCGGTCAGTGATGCTGTCGGACAGGTGGATTCAAAAACCGGGCAGCTTACGCGGATTGGAAGTTTTGACGACACTCGGATTCGAGAAACAGGAGTTTCTGGCAAAATGGCGATGTAAGTGTTGAACTTACATTTTTTGGCCGAGGGATGTAAGAAAAAATCCATGATTTGCAGGCCTATACTTCTTTTACAACCAAGCTGCTTGTGATGGATTGGAATGGAATCTCTCCAGTCCAGCATTCCTAAAGCCATGATTCTGTAGGTTGCGGAGAAAAAATCGTATCCCCCCCGAGATGTCCAAGGAGACGTTTTTTTTTTTAGAAACAACATATGTGATACTCCACTTGTTGGACTTGGCAACGATCATTGTTTGGGATCCACTGAGGCGGGTGGAACTTCAACTTGCTACATTACCTTGGACAAGGCCTGGCCGAGTGGATGCCTGGCCAATGATTGGCATCGTCAGGAAGTTCCATATTCAACTTCCAGGGCTGCCAGGAGTAACACCACCCAATATGCTTTTGAAATAGTTTTACCCTCTGGTAATTTAACGTAGCTATTGAAAATGGCCATTTATAGTTGATTTTCCCTTAAAAAAATGCCATTTTCAATAGCTATGTTAAATTACCAGAGGGTAACACCACCCAATATGCTGTTGAAATAGTTTTAAGCACTACAAAATGATGGAACAACTGATACACGATGTTGCTTGGAGGATCATTCCAGTTGCATAGTAAGGCCTAGTAGCAGCTTAGTTTTCCAAGCGATCAATTTCCCAGTAAGTCGCCAGTTTGCCCTGGTGGATCGTTTCTTCAACTCTTGTGGAAGCTATTAGATTATATATGAGTATATATGATTATGTTATATATAATAATAATCTGATATAATATGTATATTATATATTTAATATATACATATTATTATTATATATTATATATATGTATTACGCACCATATTATATATATATGTATATTATGATAGATAATATATATTTATATGCACCATATAATGATTATATATGCATATATTTATCCACCATATTATCGGGATACATTATATTTTGTGTCCATGAGATTCATTTTCTTGATGATTTGGATCTATTCTTTTTGTGATCGTGTCGGGGAGGGAGTCAGGCCATACAGCCATACAGGAAAGATCTTTAATGCGTATCCTATGGAGGTTAAACAAACAACACTAGAGATTTACAATGATTTACACATATATATATATATTATGTTTTATTTTTATGTACTTAGTATTAATTAGTACTACTTAGTATATAGTGGGATTGAATGGAATATTGTTTGGACAATAGTGTTTTTTCCCCTTTGGTAGTTTCTTACATGTTGCGTCACGTTGTAGATGGCCCATGGAGTCAACGCAGGAGCGCATCCTTTTGTAGGTAACCTTCACCAATCCCCAAGTTTTGTAGGTGGCTTATAATTACAACATTTAACTGGACCAAGATTGGATAAACCTTGGATATATAGTTTAGTACTTCAATAGGTTTCCGTAAATGGACATGTCTACCCAGCTAAAGAAGTGCACGGTATCTAAGTTTGGCCACGAATTCTTGGCAGACCCTAGTAGATTGCGAAAGGCAACCATCCCGAACCCATACCCAGAGCGCAGGCTGCTCAGAATATGTTGGTGGTGAATTACTGGAATGCTGCTTGGCTGTGCACTTTTGCACACCTGGCCCATTTCCCAATTGTTTAAACGACTATGGAAATCAAAACTTTCACCAAAACATAAAACCTGTATTTCGTATATTTTTCTGATTTCGTTCTTTTGGCCATTATGTCTCCAGTTTGTGTTGTGTCATACCCTACTTTGAGCAGCTACGTAAACAGATGTGAGCACATGTACGCAGAATAGGTCATGTACAGTGGGATATTATATAATATTATATATTAATGATATATATATACTACCGGTGCTGGTGGTTGTATACCCCTGATTCAAATGCAAATCATGTCTGGCTTGCATTCCTTGAAGATTTTATGAAACACATGAAGTGTTCAGACTATTGACCATGAAAGGTTCACAACTTTTATGTCTTACGGTCTTGTGTTCTCCTGAATTTGACCTGGAGATGATTGGGAATATACGGACATATTGGGTTTTGCATTGCCAAATATATTGACTTGCAGTTTTGAACGGCATTGTATTTCTTCATGAGCAGGAAGGATCAAGCACATGTAGCCACTAGATGCATGTAGTACAAATATATATATATACATAGACTTGGATAAATTATAACGACCTCACTCTGATGTCACTGTATTGGTGGCTGGTAGGAGTAACTACTGTATCTAAATTCTTTCAGATTGGTGAGTTGTTATGATTCAGCAATCTAAGTATACGTATATATGTATATATATGGCTCCAGGGTTGCGCAGTGATGCAGTATACACACTTATGTTTTAAATGCATATATCTATGTATATTATATATATATATGTACATGTGCCATTGTCAAAAAGCAGATTATAGATTATATACTCATATTGCGGGGATGGTCATCAATTCAATGATAGAGATTTATACATGCATTTTTTTTGATTCCGATTATGGGATGGATGATCATACCCCATGAATCCTGTCAACCTGAACATGACACATATGTAAATTATGATGATACTATGTGAAACTTGATATACATCCGCAAACATATTATGAATGTATAGTTTGTGTTATCGATCATGATTTGCATAGCTAAATTATGATATGTCCGAATTATACATATATATATATGTATTTATTTATTTTATAATCCTGAGGTAGAAAAATACGAGATGTTCAAAGATATCTCCATTTTCGTGGTATTTGTTGTTTGAACTTGTTTGAACAACTCCATATTCTATCTACTCCAGGATGACTATACAATGTCAATTGTAATACATACACAACTATTTGCATATGATATATATATATATATATTATGTATAATATATATTTATATATTATGTATACTATATATATATTATACTATATGTAAATATATATATATGTATAATATAATATAATATAATATAATATGCTATAATATAATATAATATAATTTAATATAATATAATAAAAAATAATATAATATAATATAATATGATATGATATATATATATGTATAATATAATATATATATACATATATATATTTGTAATATATAGATATATATACAAAAACCATTGGGAAATCCCAGCCACTCCTCAACTTTTGTTGTTCAAGGCCACCATTGGAGTCTTCGGCCTTGATCCTGAAAGCGGCGCTGTAGGGATGCACAAATAAAAGCGGCAGCCCTGTTGGTTGATAGGGGGAGTACCATGGTTATTATATACAATGGTCATTAACCATTAACCATGGTTATTAAAAGTGGCTATGGTTATTATAAGTGGCTTAACTGTGGTTTAACTATGGTTTAATGGTCATTATAAGTGGCTGAATTCTATGGTTATTATAAGTGGCTATGGTTATAGAAGTGGCTGAATTCTATGGTCATTATAAGTGGCTGAATTCTATGGTTTAACCAATGATTTAGGGGTAAATCCAACTATTTCTATGGCCATTTTCAATAGCAAACTGTTAGTTTACCAGAGGGTAACTATGGTTTAACCAATGGTCATTATAAGTGGCTGAATTCTATGGTTTATGGTAGATATAGCAAACTAGTAAGTGGTGTTTATAAACCTTTTTTTCTAACTGGTTATTATATGGGGACTATGACATACTGTGGATGGTTGCGAAAATGATGCTTTGACACAAACCAATTTGAAAACTTGAGGAGTTTGACTTATCAGAGAAATATCTGAATTTAAGCAGAGCGGTCTGCACTGCATACTCCCAGTTGACCAATGGACAGTTGTAGTTTCCACCGCCATAGAGGTCTTTTTGCCTCTGTTGTTTCATGAAATAGGTCAATGCAGGTAAATCATTATAAATGCCAAATCAGTTTTTCTTCCCACCAGAACGTTGTTGGCTTTGGCCACATTTTCAACATTCTGTTTCTAGGGAATTGTTGCTGGAACCCTGATGATTCTGAATTCCTGGGGTTCCTATTTTCTGTCAAACAAATCCCTTGAATCAAGATATTATACATGATAATATATGGATGATGGAGGTATACTATAGATCATGGAGACATATATTGATATAATATGGATAAGATGGGATTATCTCCATTAAATCGATAACTTCTTAAAAATTGTGATATCCCCATTTGTAGGTCTGATTTTCTTAGGTTCTATCTCCGGGTCCCTGGTGATTTACCCTCTGGTAATTTAACATAGCTATTGAACATGGCCATTTATAGTGGATTTTCCCATTAAAAATGGTGATTTTCCATAGTTATGTTAAATTACCAGAGGGTATGGGTTCGGCCCCTGTGGCCTCAGGTCACATGTCGTCGAAGTTTGTTTGACCCCAATGAGGGCAGACCCATGAAGGCGATGACCATGGCGATGATGATGGGTCATGGCCACGGCTCGTTGATTTACCCTCGGGTTATTTAACATAGCCATGAAAAATCACCATTTTTAATAGGTAAACCATCTAAATCTATAAATGGGCCATTTTCCATAGCCACGTTAGTTTATCAGCGGGTATATATGTCAATGAGAAATTCCATGAACCTGCTGTTTTGGAAGTCAATCTTGGTTGGTTACTTTAAGACTTAGTGACTTATTGTTTCTTGTCGGGAAGGGGGATAGGTACTTTCTGCAGCTGCAAAGCAGAGCGTAATCTCTTCGCAAGGTATCTAAAATTAGCCATGATGGCATATATCTAGTGAAGAGGCAAGCCATGATGCACAGGAACGCAGTTTTACCATGATCTTAGAATGTTGAAGAAACAAAACTGGCGACACTCCAGATGCAACAACACCCTTTAAGGTCAATTCAAGCAGCAAAAATGGTTCCCACGGGCGCCCAGGGTGGTTTTTCCATTGGTTTTGCCCCTGCATTTGGGGCTGAGGATTTTTGTTGAATGGTCCCCTTCAGCAATTCCGTCACAACTGAAACAGGCCAGACATGACCGGCACGTCAACCATTCCGAGAACGACCCTTTGGCGCAGAAAGAGCCACTTGGGGCAAGAAGACCGTCCGCTGAGGTAGTGAGAACTGGGGACAGCTGTGGATGTGTATGGTATTCCATAATCATACATATGTATAGTAATATATCTATATAGTGTTTATATTATATATACTGTATATGATAATGATATATATATATATAAACCTACAATATCACAAATTGGTGGTTAACCTCCAAATATGCTGAGTTAACCATTTGAAAGTGGATTTGAGCATGACAGATGTAGCGACCAAAGCTGCAAGACTGACATGCCAAGATGGCGTGGGTTATTGACCCCTAGTCGAGGAGATCCTGTGATCCATGGACCCATCTGAGATCTTGGGTCATTGAATGCCGTTGATCTCTCAATTGCTTAAGGGTCCTGATATCTGTCAAGAGCCATGACTTTCCACCTGGCAACAGGGGTAGGGGGTGTGAAAACCACGTGTCCTACATGTCCTTTTCAGAAAAGGCAAAACAGCAGCTTTTGGTGTTACATTCGCGATGGCCCATTTGAAAAAGACCATGATAGATGAGGTGTGGGAAACCCGGAAACCCTGTCAAAGATACATCCGCTGTCTTACAGCCGATCGCAATTTCCTGGAAAGCCACATGGCCACATCTTTCCAAGCCGTTCTTTGGGATTCCCCAATTCAGCGGCAGACGGTTAGGATATGCCGGCAACAGATGCACTATCGTCTTACAGGGATCTCTCCATCCTAGTAGTATTTGAAGCTTTTGTTTCTTACCCGGTTAGGATTCTTGGAGCAAAACTTGGGATTTCACGACATGAGAACTCATCATCATCATCATCATTATCATCATCATCGTCATCATCATCATCATCATCATCAGCATCAGCATCAGCATCATATATATATATTACATACTTCAAGTCTCTTCAAGTACTTAACGCTAGTGTTGAACTTGAGAGACATGATGATCCCCCCCCAAAAAAAAGGCACTTGGCTTTTGCGGCCCGAGGCGCCAGTCCGATCCGCACTCCCACGCTGTGATCTTGGATCCATTTTTTGGCCGCTCAGCAATGCCTAGGGCGTGAAGGGCATGATGAGATAGTGAATGATATGCAATAGTTGTACAATATTATGCTAGCTATAATGGTTGATATATAATAATTATGATAATTACAATAGTTGATATGATGTAGCAAAAATATAACTAATGGTTAATGAATGTTCATGAGAGTTATTTCTTATTTCTAGTGATATACATAAGAAACAATGTCGATGTGAAAGACCATAAAAGTGATATTAGTATCATGATACTCGAGTCAGCAGATGATTGTCAGCCAATGATTGCAATGATTGCAACCAGGAACGTATTATCCCAGCTACTTAAAGATCATGCAGTTCTAGTAATGATTGGATATATAGCTCATACCCTCTGGTAAACTAACATAGCTATTGAAAATGACCATTTATAGTGGATTTTCCCATTGAAAATGGTGATTTTCTATAGCTATGTTAAATTACCAGAGGGTAGTTATATATGAGGATTAATGTGGGAAACCCAATGCTAAACCTTTTATAGCACCCATTTGTGGCGATTTGGTGATAGCGGATGCCCATTGTGCTGGACTCCTTGCTGCAGTGTCCAGACCATGGGAGAGTTCCCATGGGATCCTGGTTACTACAGATTCAAGTGTATCTCAGGCAGATCGCAGCAGAGATTTGGTGAAATCAGATGCGCAGACAAAATGCACAAAATGCACAAAATGAGAATGACAACACTGCCTCTCACTTTGTCTCACTTCGTCTTGATGTAAACGCTTGAAATGTCGTTGGAAGTCTCTTGCCGAGTTGGATCGACATGTGGGTTGCGACGGGATTTAACGAAGAATCATACGGCCTTGGTATCCTTTTCTGGCCATTTGGGGATCAGTGGAGCTGCGCAGTTGCGCCAAAAATCCTCGCTTCGTCGGTAGCAAGGTCTTCCAAAAGAGACGAGTTTCAGGTCTTGGAATCCGTGAATAGAAATAGAATGATATATACCATCTGGTTATTTAACATAGCCATTTGAAAATCACCATTTCTAAGTTCGGTAAACCATCTATAAATGAGCCATCTATACCATGGCTATGTTAAATAACCAGAGGGTAATATATATATATATACACATTTTTTTTTTGGAACAAAAAGAAGGACCCTAATTACCCATTTGTTGGTTTGTTCCATTCCCTATTTTTACCAGAAATGGGACATCAACGATCTTCAATCGGATGTTTAAACTGCCACCAATGTCTTTGGTGGTCAAACAGATGGCTTGGCCTGTGAAAACTATCTGTTGCTGGCCCATAGCAATCCATAGCATATATGCACAACCTATTTACTAGACTTTGGGCACTGTTTGGGCTACATGCAACAAGATTTGGCAGTTCTGAGGTCGAATTGCCTATGTACCTGACTTAGGCGGCTGCGAGTCTGGGCATTTCGGGCATGGCTCATTTCCCCCATTTTTGGGATGATTTCATACTGAAGAATGAGCAACATCAACCGCCGGGGAGACAAGATTGTGTGCAAATCCTCATCATTGTGCCATATTGTAACATTACGTGCCATGGTCCCCACAAAAATAAGGGATGGTCATCCCCCCATTGATGAGGTTACCCATTAAAAGGTTTCCCCAATGTTGGTAGGATGAGCATAACCCATGTACCACCATAAAACTTGACCATAGCACATATCTTGCCTAGCCAGCTTTGTCCCGCAATTGATTTTCCTCAGAATAGTATCATCTCAGTCCAGCCCCTAGCACCCTGTCTGTAGTATTCTTAGTTGTGCACATCAAAAATGGGGGTGCCCACAAATGATCAGGGGTGGAGTATGCCCTTGAATGGGAAACTGAGTTACCCTCTGGTAATGTCAAAATAGCTATTGAACACGGCCATAGAAATAGTGGATTTTCCCATGAACAATGGTGGATCTTTCCATAGTTTTGTTAAATTACCAGAGGGTATCTGATGATAAAGCAACAAGATCAGCTGTTCTGACGGACCGACGGACGCCAGGCATGGATTTGATTCGACAATTTCACTATGACAACGAGGCTCGTCACTGGCCCACTGGAGCGGTTTTTGCTGTAGAACCTGGCCGACACCTGATCTGATTTGTTCAAAGTAAATTGTACATATGGTCACAGATTGTTTCACATACATTTTGTTTTTGAAAAGCAATGTCTCAGTTTATTAATGTGTAAATGTTTCAAGTATGTAATGTGTTTATCGTAGGTCAACACATGGTGAACATCTCCTAGGTAAAAGCGCCCTCCCCATTGGGTTACAAGGCTAATGAAAGAACATAGGAACCCACTAGCCAAGCTTACATATATATATATAATTATACATATTATATACATACATGCTATAATTCATAGTAAACCCAAGCGAGAAAAGAATAGTTATCAGCCAACTTCGTGATCTTTGTACTTTGACTAACTTACCAAATGTTGATTCGTTCATGTCCATTAATAATTCCTATATATATGCCATTCATATACCATTGTAATGCCATAAACATATCCTGAATTAATCCACAGAATTGATCGATACTCCCTTCAAAAACGATAGAAGACCTTTATTATCCCATTCATCTACCATAGAAACATATAGAAACCCATGGGACTGGTGAATTGGAAACCCATGGGACTGGTGAATGTCCCATATATATTTTTTACTTAAAAAAAAACGGCGCGCGCCTCCGTTGGCGTTTTATCCAGGAGGGCACTCTGTCAGCTCGCGGCACCATGTCTTCTGGCCCTCCAGGTGCGTAAACATATTTTTTTTGCATGGAAGTACCAGGAGATGTGTGGTACCCTCTGGTAAACTAACAGTTTGCTATGGAAAGATCCACCATTTTTAATGGGTAAATCCACTATAAATCACCATGCTATCAATAGCTATGTAACAAATTACCAGAGGGTAATGTTGGGGTAAATACCGATTCTAGTGGTGGTTTCAAGTATGTGGTAAATTGTCATGTGTTGTCGCAAAATACTGTTTGAGATTATGATCGACGTTTTCACTGATTTTTTCGTTTTTAATTTTTGGATGGCTTGGTTAACCACCAGTCAACCTTGGTTTTACGCTTCATGTTGTGGTTTTTTGGTGTATCACAACAGAGATTTTTGTGTTGACTCAAGCCATATAGAAAAAGCCTCCAGAATTGATACGGTGTATGAAATTATGGGGTGTAGTGTGTAATTGGATGTAATTGGTACATGATTTTTTTTTGTGGTAAATGTGGACACAACTGTTGCGATAGTGCGCAGCTTGGGCCCAAGTCCACAAAGCGTGGTTCATCAGCTGGTTCTTATGGCTAAGAAAGTGTGGAATGAGCAGAGCACAGGGAGCCGACTTGTTTCTGGCTTTCTCACTGCCTTACCCATTACATTGATTCCTGGACTGCTGAGTCGGTTCGAGTTTCTTTTCTGCTGGAATGATTGGAATGATCCACTATGAGTTTGAGATAGTTTGAGTGGTTTTTGATGTTCACGGTCTGTTTGAGTGTTGTTCTCTCTAAGTGGGACGTTTCAGACATTTTTGGGGAGGCAGGGGAGACTGGTTCCTGTTTTGAGTGTGCACCTCGGGAGCAAATCTACCTTGAGGGGACACCCCTCGCCCTATAGTGGATAAAGTCATAATGAATCATCATAAACAATTGCTCAAGATGTTGGTTATACTGTTCATTGGTTCAAGATGTTGCTTATCATTTGTTAAATACGTTTAAATACTTCATAAGCAGTTGTTGTTGGTTCAGATTCGCCCTGAACAAGCATCCAAACACTCTCTCGGCTGGGCTCAGCATCGGTATCCGGGAAAGCTCCAAGGATTAGCTTGGCTTCTTGTGTGTCCTATGCACACTTGATGGAGCCCATAGGCATCGGAGGAAAGACTCCTCCTTTGTCGTTAGCATTGCTTAGTTTCTTGGCAATTAGAGTCATTAGAGTGCTACTTTCGGCCAAGATAAAGCCGGTTGCTGCTTTGGAACATGTTTTATTTTCCCCAATAGTTGGGATGATGATCCAATCTGACGAACTCCATCATTTTTCAGGGGGGTTGGTTGAAACCACCAATAAACGCTATTGTCCTTGTCGCTTCATAGATCCATTTTATGAGGAAAGCAAGGTTTAAAGAACAATGGGATGGACCGGGATTCCTGTTGGCAGCTGAGCCACTGATCAACCATTCGGGCAAAAACGGGGTCAATCCGGTCAATCCGCTGATTTTTGATCAACCAGATCAACATAGATGAACTAGATCTCTCTGGGTTAACATTCCCCAGTTTTATTTTGAAGAAATCTACAAGATGGCGCCCCCAAGATAGCTAAGTTGGTTTATAACTCCAATAACTATGCTTTATAGGCTAGGTGATATATCTTTGTTCTAACAGTCCAAAGACTCAGGTTCTGCCAGCATCTTTTCAGCTGGATTTGGGAATTTCATCCACAACGTGCCTTGTCCCACATGAAGCCACCAGCAGGGCCACCAGCAGAGTCCGACATGTCTTTAAGATTCATGGAGATTCTGGTGAAAATATGTGAACATTGAATGACATTGGTACTCGTATCTTATCACTTGCTATTTTTTAGATTCCATAAGGGCCTTCAGGGCCTTCATTTGAAGAGTTTGGCTTCCACTTCCGGTGAAGAATTCCGATCACCGAGGTGATGTCGCATTGTCAATACCTCGTCACCTGCCCGGACATCACGTTCACCCTTTTCATGTGCCCTGGTCGAAGTGCAGGATGACGACCATCCTGACATCGCTGCACATGGCATAGGAAGATGGGCCGTTGTTTCCGTTTTGCAATTGTCCCACAAGAAAAAAGGTTATGATTTCACGATGTTTCACGATGGTCATACAAGACAGCCATTTTTTTGCCCTCACTTCCAGTCGCAGCTTTGTGTTAGACTGGACTCAATCAATTGCAAGTCTGAAGTTTTGAACATTGCATTTTCCATAATATATGGGATGTCATCCTTCCCATTCACGAACTCATATTTTTCAAGATGGTTATTGCACCACCAACCAGGCATGGTCGTGCAAAATGGTCTGTTTTCTTTGGACAAGCCACGATTTAGATTGAGAGATCATGTCGCTTCATCCATTGAATGCGCTGAAACGGTATGGTTACGGTACTCGGAGCTGGGTACCCGGAGCTGGTTTACTCAGATTTCAGACTCCAAAACGCTCCAAAACCGGGAAATCCAGCATGCTTTTTCATGTTTAAACACATACCTTACCAGGACCTAGGACATCCTAGGACCTGGTCTCCCGAATTTTCGGGCTTCGTATGGCCATCCTAGGTCAACCTCATCAACGTCCTGGTATTTCCATGTTCCATCTCCTGTTTCTGGCAAGAGAACTGATTGTGGCACAGTAAACCCGAGGATAAACATGGATAAACATCATCAACATGCATTTTTAGATGGGTAGCAATATAGCCATGCAGCCATCCCAAATGGTCGGTTTATTCATGTCGGTTGATGGTCGCCCCTTTCATCCCACTGCTGAGCCTTCGAAAGTGGCAGGCAGGCGGGGCAGATCTCAGTGTATCATCAGTTTAAAGGAGCCGGGGAGAGAGCCGGGGGTGGCGTTGAAGCCATGTCAGGTTGAGGTTCTAGTTGGGTCTGGTTGGTGGCGAATTGAATTGATCTATAATGATATATATATATAATAAATATATATATATATAATAAATAAATATATATATATATACATATATAATATAATATAATATAATATAATATGATATAATACAATATAATATAATATAATATAATATTATATAATACAATATAATATAATATAATATAATATAAAATATAATATAATATAATATAATATAATACAATATAATATAATATAATATAATGTAATATAATATAATATAATATAATATAATATAATATAATATATATAATGTATGTATATATATATATATATATATATTGATCTATATGAATGATACTGACGGATTCCTGATGATTCAAATCGCGTGCAGGTTCACTTTTCAGCGGTTTTGAACATATTCACTTGGGTCATATGGTGTACCCATGGATTTCCTCTACCCAAATGTTTTTTTCAGAAGTTTGAGTTTGACACTTACTTGCAAGATCTATGCCAAGTTATTTTTCCCACCCAGAGTTTTTATTGGTCGCGGTGTCCCGCAGAACATCACCGGTTATCACCAGACCTGCTAGAGCCAACTGCGACCTTTGCATTGCGTTTGAACGCCTTGCTCTTGGGGTTCCTTGGCTGGATGGGGAGTCAAAAAATGGTGGGTTGGGTTTGACCAAAGATGGGGGAAGATGTAGTCCCAAAATGGCAAGTTTCATTGGGAAATGACGATAAACTATGGGATTTGGTCCCCCTTGGAGTTTCCTCTACAACATGGTACTTGTTAACCCCCCAAAACAGCTACCATTTTGGCATCGATTTTTGGTGAGGCTCGTGTGTTCACACTGTCATGCACCACCATTCTATAGAGGCTTCATCTGGATTGTTTGAATCTGACACGAGTTCCATTCTATAGAGATGTTTGTTTAGTACTTGGTGGTTCATCCCACGGCTCGTAAGTGGGTTATAACCCCAGTTATAAGTGGATTTACCCTACTTATCCCATTTATAACTGGGGTTATAACCCACTTACTAAGTGGGATGAGCCACCAAGTAGAGATGTTGGTTTAGTAAGATGTAACAGTTTTAGGCTTGGGCATGACAATTCTATAGACTTGAATGTGCCTTCTATTCAGACCTGGGTCAGATTCTATTCAGACCTTAAGGGTTACCAACGCTGCCCACACCTTCAAAGGGAATGGGATTTCGAGGTACCATGACATGAAACATTTGGGTCGAGATACCTCCAAAAACTCCAAAGAGTCACGACTCACACTCGGTTGTCACTGCTGGTGCCTTTCACAGCTCTCTTGGAAATCATCCCCTGTGGGTATGGAACATTATGGAACAATGCCAAATAGGACCAACATGGACCAACATTTTGTTGATGAACATACCAAGCAAATACTGTATGTTCACAAAAAGGCCATCATGGCACGAGGGTTTTCACCATTCTGTTTTGTTCATCGACACTGGAAAACAATCGGTGGGTTTTGTTGGTCAGCTTCAAAAATCCCACACGTTTCACAGGTGGAGAGACTCACTTGGCCACAGGCCAAAGCTAAAGACCAGGTTCAGCTCAGACTATTTATATTATAGGTTCCATATGGTTCCATGCTTGAAGTTTAAGGATGGTAGCAGTATGAGCGCTTACATTTCTACCCAATGCAAGAGAGAGAGAGAGAGAGAGGGGGAGAGGAGAGTAGAAAAACTTGCCCAAGATGAAAACACCAAAGGGGTAAAGGGGTATTTGTTTCCAGCACCAGGTCTGTTGGCAACGGCACTTCTTAAAGAAGTGATCCACTAAGGCTCCTGTTCTGGGTGCTCGGAAAGCTTCATGTCATGGCTGCGCTGCGTTGCTGGGCTCAGCATGGCTCAGCTGGCTGGGATTTAGCTATCTATCTTTCCCCATGATAAATGATGATGGATTTATACACCCCCTAAATTTAACATGGGAGATCATGGACCCCAGAAGTGGCCCTAGCCAATACTTTCAGATTCCAGGTTTTTTCTTGGGTGTAAATGATGCAAGTTGGTGTGGTCAAACATATATTAAACCTCCAAGTTTGCTGATGAGAAGATTTTGATCCACTTTGTGTGCCCAGATTTTGACCGGGACCCCCGTTGAGGACTGGGTTTTAGGTGATGTCCATACCTGGTTTTCATAACATGTCCATGTTTTTTTGCTGCAAAAACAAAAATACGCCAGTTCTTTTTGGTGAGCCCAGAATTTGTTGATTACCATGATTACCCGTTCTGGCAACATAGATGTATTTCACAGCCTTGCAGTACTACGTAGATCTTTTTCCAGGTGGAAACCCCATGGGTAGAACCCACCTGGATCATCCCATGTCGCTGCCAGGTTATCTCCCCTATCCGGTGGTGGCTGGTTTCCTAGCGATGATCGGAGCAGCGGTCATCAAGGGAGCCTTTAAGATCTTGTTGGCTGACAAGCAGGGGGAATCAGAGCGACCTGGCGATGAAAATCACTTGGAAGTCAATATTTTTCATATATCATGTGGTAAACCCAATAATTAACACACCTACAATTTTGGGGATGGTTTATACCACTTATAATATAAAAGAATGATTTTGGGGATGGTTTACAATTAGGTTTACCACATTACTCACTATCAACCCAACAGTTAACCGAGGACACAGTTATACTTTTGCACCAGCATAGACCAACTTTGCTAACGTAGCGCCTCCAGGTTGTGCACCCTGGTTATGTATTGTTGGTATGACCCCGCCTAACTACAGTTATTTCAAATTATTCAAATTATTTTATACATGTTTATACCATAAACCCAACAGTTCACCTAGTGATTCCAACCCACTACAGGCTACCACCGTGGGAAAGGTCAACGAACAGTGGGTTCGTGGGTTCATTGGGTTGTTTTTTTTGAGGTGTTGGTCGAAAGATTTTTATATACGTAGGATACCTCAAAACGGCAATTTTGTTGGGGAAAGTAAGGAAGGTTTGGAATACTCATAAATGATACAAAACCATAGTAATAGTTATGTAATAGTAATTATGGCCCTCATTGTATCAATATAGCCATTATACCAGCTTTATTGGGCTTCACCAGGGGTACAGTGTTTTGACCCATCCCCATCTATCTATCTATCTATCTGTCTGTCTGTCTATCTATCTATCTATCTATCTATATCCCCAACCACCGAGATCACATTGTTGCTTGGCAGGTATGTGGCAGTCATCATCTCCGTGTTCTTTGCTCTCTGCGTGTTGGGCTTGAAACTCAAGGGGATTCGAACCAGCCTCAGCGCACCCATCTTGATCGTCTCGCAGCTCGGTGCGGGTTCACCTGAGTTCACCGCGTTTGGATTGGGATGATGTTTGATTTGGGTATGGGTCAATACCTATAGATACATTTTTAGTGGGATGAAACATCCGTTTACCAGCTATTTTGGGGTTCACTAGGTACCAGGGTTTTGACCCATCCCCACTTATGTGTGGGGAAGTCCCTAAGTTTGGTGCTGCCCCCCCCCCTGTTATGTTAAACCCGGACAAGTTCGATATGTCTACCAGAAACCATAGTTCTGGGTAAATTATAACGACCTCACTGCGACCTCACTGGAATCATGGTTAAGGGAAATCATCCCCTTTTATGGCCAAAAAAATCAGGTTCGTGAAATATCACAATTTACCCAGAATGATGTAATTCAGAGTATTCTCCCAGATTTGTGCATGGTCCAACGCTGAAAATGACGCCCCCAGGTGGGTTGGGAACCAACTCAGCTTACCTCCAAGTCCTCTTCCAAATGGTCGAGTTTGACATTGGAAGCAGCTTATTAGAGGGGATGTACCCAATAGAAACAGTGATTCAATGGTATATATATAATATATATATATTGTTGTTTTGCCAACTTGAGCCATGATTCACTGTCCATCATGTCCATTCCATTTCGCCGGCCTCATTGGACACCTTCCAGTGGTGGGAGGGTTGAGGATATTGAGCCATCAGCAAGGACAAAGGCAGCTGGGTTTAGGGCAGGACAGGGTTCCCCCAAATCTATTGGAGTAGATTCAGATTGGTAGCGGAGCCCATTGGGCTGCCGCAGGCATAGGACAGGGTTCCTTAGGTGTAGAATTTAAGGTGTTGCAGGGACAACATTGCACAGCCATAACAGTATCTGAGCCATGGCGGAGACAGAGCCTGCGGAAGCAGCGGGATCCAAGGGCGCACAGCTGCCTTCGTCGGCGCTTCCTTGGCATCAGATACCAAAATTTGAGCCTGGAGTGACGGATCTTAGGACCTACACTCGGAAGCTTGAGTTTCTCCGAGATTTGTGGCCCCCAGAGCATATCGAACACCTTGCTCCACGGGCTGCACTACAGGTCGAGGGGAGTGCCTTTCAAAAGGTAGCTCGACTGCAAGCGGAGAAACTTCGCACAGCTGACGGTGTGAAGTACTTGGTCGAATCGCTTGGAGGTCAGTGGGGAAAGTTGGCAGATGAGGATCGATATGATCTCTTTGAAAGAGCCTTGTTTTCAACACAACAAAAATCAGATGAGTCAAATGACAGCTACCTCACCAGGCATGATGTGGCGTTTGATGATTTACTGGGAAGAGGGGTTCAGCTTGAGGAGATCAGGGCTTACATCCTACTCAGACAATCAAGTCTGTCTGCCGGTGACCGAAAGAAGGTGATCATGGATGCAGGTGGGAAGCTGCAGTACGAGAGTGCCAAGAGGAGCATTCGCCTCCTGGGATCACGATTCTTTCAAGATCTTCAAGCAGGGGGTCGGAGCAATCAGCGGCAAAAGACATATGATGTCAACCATGTGGATGAAGTTGAAGAAGTTCACAACACCTGGACTTCGACGGAACCAGAACTTGACGAAGAGGCCATTCAACAGATTCTGCTGGAAGAAAATGATGAAGATGCCCATTTTGTGCAGGACTTTGAGGAGCAGATTTTACTGACTTGCCAAGACTCTCAAGAGTTATCGGCTTGTTTCAGCACATATCAAGAAGCTCGAGACCGCCTGAGAGACAAAGCCCGATCACGAGGATTCTGGCCTGTTCGAGGATCTCATACCAAAGGAAAAGGACGTGGCGGGGGAAAAAAGGGGCGATCGACTTTTGGGGCAGCGGCATCCAGTTCTGGCTACTTGCAAAAGCGCAAAAGCTTGGCAGAGAGGATTGCCAACTCAACATGCCGAAAATGTGGGCAGCCAGGACATTGGCGCCGAGAATGTCCGCTCAATGCCGATGCTTCCAAGGACAAGAACAATTTCACTGGACTGGCCGAGATTCACTCTGAGGAGATGATTGCCTTGACGGAGGACCAGGATGTTCTTGATGATCTACCCGCCGATGCCGTCCTGATCCACGAGGCGCACCAGGTAGGACTGGATCAAATTTTGAAAGAAAATTTTTATTTCTCTTCTCCAGCACAAAATCGTTTTGAGGACACCGTGAGAATTGAGAAAGATGAGTCTTTGAGGGTTTGGTGTTGTTTCAACGTTGAGGATCATGAATGGAAGGGGATTCGGGGTTTTCAACAAAAACTCACCTCAAAACTTGTGCAATGCTGTAGGACACACTATGGGACCAACGCTGATGCAGCTGCAGTCCAATCGACCTTCAAAGAGCCTTCCAAATCAGCCGACGCAGGTGCTGATGCTGAAAACAGCTTCAGTTTTTCCAGTGTCGATTGCCTTTTTAACAGTGAGGAAGATGTAGGAGAGGCAATAATTGATACAGGGGCTAGCCGGGCAGTGATTGGTGAACAGAGACTTCAGGGTATGTTGGATTCTCTCCCAGAGGGTTTGCGTAAGATGACATACCGGGCCCGTACCCCTGGGGTTGTTTTCAAGTTTGGAAACTCATCCAAATTGACCAGCAGATTTGCCATCCTTCTTCCTCGCAGTGAAAAGGGCTGGCTCAGAGTCGAAGTGGTGCCAGGGCAAACACCATTTTTGATATCAAATTCAATTTTGAGGGGTCTCAGGGGAGTAGTTGACGTAGAAGACCAAGTACTGAGATTCAAGGGCAGCCCACGGGTCATTCCATTGCATGCATGTCGTAAAAGTCTACTCAGTGTAAAGGTTTCGGAACTGTTATCATGCGCACCATCAGGAAAAATGCCAAGTGACACGGAAACCATCATGCATGTAGACAAGGTACAGGGACATGAGGGTTGCACGGAATCTCAAGAACATGATGAACATGAGGGTTGTACCACACATGAGGGTCGAGCATATCATGAATATCCCAACCACCACTTGGATGTTAATGAATGCATGCAGCAACAAAGAAAGGTGAATGTTCATGATAACAGGGAGATGGTCGGAAGTTCAACAAAACCTAATGTACACATGAAACACGAACCACATGAAACTGGGAACAATGTGCAGGTCAGATTTCAGGATCAAGAAGAAAATTTAGCGACGTCCAAGGTCAGCCATGGCATCTCAAGGTCAGAGCTCGTATCTCACGGCCGAGCTCACTCTCCCGGAGGACAAGACATTGGGGTTCAGTGCCACACATGGGAATATCGGGGAGATCAACAAGCCACCTGGAATCCATACACTGGAAGAGTGGGGACAAATCAGAGCACCATCGGGAAAATATCCAGGAAGCACCTTCGCGGAGATCTTCCAGAAGGACCAGGTGTATGTGCAACACATGTGGAATCGCAGAGGAGTATCATCTTGGGTCCGAAGTTTCCAGATGTACTGCCGAGCAGTGAGGAAATTAGAACCGAGTCCCGATTATCATCGGGGATACCAAGTACCGGTGACACCGAAGAGCATGTCAAAATCCAAGCCTCCGACAACAGTGACAGGAGAGTGGACCAAGATCGAGAAGACCGGAGAAGCTATGAAAATCAGCCCCAAGGGGGAGAACAAGCGTTCCATGCAGGAGCCCAAGAACGAGATGCAGACCGAGGTGAATCCCGAACGAGTCGAAGTTCTTCGCACACAGATCGCGATCATGCAGAGGGAGCTCGAAAAGGAACTGAACAGCTCCAATTCAGCTCAGTCGTCAGGTCCAGTGCTGGAGAACAATTAAATTCGATTGATCAAGAAGTGTATCATATTATCAATGGAAGTCCCTTGAAACGTCTCAGCATGAAACAAGAGCAGAAAATACATGAACAGATTTCTCAGAAAATGATTGATATTGAGGAAGGGTTGAGAACTGTTTCAGACACTGCTCTGTTCGCACGAGACAAAAGGGCAAAAGGGTTCAGCGGGCGCCCAGGCAGTCATGGTCCACCAGTGACTTTATTGGAAGTTTATTGCGAAGAAGGGTCTCAGCTTTCTTTACAAGTCCAAGCAAAAGGGGGTAGAGCTATTCGTTTTACCCGAAAAGATGGGGACCTTAGCACCAAAGAGGGAAAAGAGAAACTGTGGTCATGGGTAAAGTTGTATGAACCCAAACATCTATGGGTAGCACCCGAATGTCGATTGTGGGGAATGTTTTCCAGGTTCAACATGGGACGTAGCATGACATTCCTAGAGAAAATACTACATGAAAGGGAACATGACAAACAACACTTGGTTCTCTGCAATGATTTGTATTTACACCAAGTTGGAGAAGGTAAACACTTTCATCTTGAACAACCAAAAGGGTCAGAGATGATGGATCAAAGGGAATTAGATGATGCCAGACTTGGAACTCTACCAGCTATGTTTGACATGTGCCGCATGGGAAAACTCAAGCTTCCAAATCAAGAACGGTTTCTTCAGAAAAGAACCACGGTCTATACAACGAGTAGGGGACTATTCAACTGGTTGCACGAACAAACATGCACACGGGACCATGAGCATGCTCATATCAAAGGGAAGGCATGGATAAAGGGTAAATGGATGAATATATCAAGTTATGCAAAGGCATACACCTCAACTTTTGCCCGCAGGGTTGCCCAGTATCTCTGTAATTGGAGAAAGGAAAAACCCCTGGTTGTAGAAGAAATGGTTCTTGGATTGGAGGATCATGAAAAGCCCAGCATGGCACCCGAAGCACTGCAGCTGCAGAAGAAACAGCGTCTAAACGCCAAGCAACCGGAGGCCACCATGTATGGCAGAGCTCCATCGTGGGCAGAGATTTTCCGACATGCAGGGTATGAGACAGGGAGAGTTGGGGGTCATGAGTTTGGGGAAAATCATGTTGTCACCAAGTGGGCCCAAATGTTGACCCCTGAAATGACGGTCAAGCTCACGGTTGCTTGTCGTGGCACAGATAGACACCGCATCCATGGGCGAGCATTTGCAGCAGAGAGGTACCCATGGCGAAAAACCATTATGGTAGATCGTCACACTGGGGAAATCAAAGAAACTGGTCCAGCGGAAGAATGGGTAAAGTTGCCAAAGTTGAAACAAATACGAAAGACTGGACCAGCCAAAATCTCTCTCACACTTTTTGGACACAAGGATGCAATTGTCTCATCGAGTGTCGGTCCCGTTCCATCATCTGAAGAGAAAACAGATGAACGAGTTCCCAAGTCCGATCCTTCTGCATCTGCAGAGAGCGAAGACTCTCTCATGCCAGAGGCTCTGGATGTGAAGGAAAATCGTCGAACCGAGGTTGATGACTCCCAATTGGAATACGAACGAGGATGGGCCCCCAAAGTTGTACCTAGGTCTGGTCCCGGGTTTTTGGCACTGGGGAGTGATGCAAGGGCGGATTTGCGTCGTCTTCACAACAATTTGGGACACCCTGACCCAAGTCGTTTTGGAAAATTCCTGAAGGAAAGGGGAGCAACCTCCGAAATCATCCAGGGAGCCCTCGATATGCAATGCGATGGATGTACGGAGATGCAATCCCAACCAAAACTGTCTCAGCCCAGTCGCATCCACGAAAATTTGGATTTCAATGATGTGATAGGCGGTGATGGGGCATATTGGGCAAGTGCTCAGGGCAAGGTATATCATTTTATGCATTTCATTGATGAGGCAACCTTGTTTCATGTTGGGATTCATAGTGGGCGGAGTTTTGAAGAACAAGTGCATGCCCTTGAAACCGCATGGACACAGTGGGCAGGACCATGCAAATTGATATACCTCGATCCTGCAGGGGAATATGCGACAGAAGCCTGGGCGACTTACCTTCAATCCGAAGGTATTAAAGTTTCCATGACAGCAGCTGAGGCACACTGGCAAAATGGTAGGTGTGAGGTACATGGAAAGATTGTCAAGGACATGTTGACTCGTATGGAGGGTGACTCACCGGTGTTGACAGAGGTTGATTTTAGAAAGAACCTACGCCAAGCTTTTGCTGCCAAAAATTCTCTCAGCCGCATTCATGGATACACCCCAGAACAATGTCTTTTGGGAAAATCACGAGCATTGCCAGCTTCCCTTGTCAGCGACGATGATGCCAGCAGTCATGTGCTGGCCGAAAGCAACTCACCTGAAGGCCAATGGTTTAGGGACAGTTTGCAGCGACGCGAAGCAGCTAGGAAGGCATTTGTTCGGGCTGACAACGATTCGGCCTTCAGAAGAGCGTTGCTCCGGCGTAGCCGACCAGGTGTGCTGACTTTTGAGCCAAAAGACTGGGTTCTGTATTGGCGAAGATCAAAGGGGAACAATCGTTTGGAACATGGGCGTTGGCATGGGCCAGCCCAAGTTATTGTGGTTGAAGGAAAAAAGGTAGTTTGGCTCAGTCACCTTGGTAGGATAATTCGGGCAAGCCCGGAACAACTACGTCCGGCCTCGTTGAGAGAGTACCACAAATTACCCAAAGATTCAATGGGGAATGCTATGGATGAGACACCAAGGGGCAGGGGTTACCTTGAACTTGAGGATATCCCAGAGGATAATCAATTGGGAGAGGCAGCCCCCTCTGAAGCTTACTCACCATCTTTGGGACAAAGTGGACCACAAACTCCTCACAGCACCTCTCAACCGGACAATGAAGAATTCCCCCCAGACTCAGGTCATGGAACGTCAGCACCATCTCTAGGAAATGAAGAGAGTGAACAGGGGAATGATGGGGATGACGGAAAGTTGGAACCACATGAGATTCCTGTACCTGATAGTGATGATGGTGACTCTTTTCTATGTTTTGGGGATGATGTTGAATTTCCACAAAATAATTCCGGAGTTTGGGAAATAAATCTTTGCGAGTATGACCAAAGCTTACAACCAGAAAAAGAAGAGGAACTGGTTCATGTGTTTTTGGCTGAACAAGTTCTTTTGGCATCCACTGCACGAAAACAAAAGGTAGAAGTCCAGTACCGTAGCCTCTCGGTTGAGGATCAAAAGCTGTTTGATGCTGCCAAACAAAAAGAACTGAAAGCGTGGATTGACCACAAAACCGTTCAGCGGGTCGCCAACGGCACTTTGAAACCAGATCAAATTATGAGGTGCCGCTGGATACTCAGTTGGAAGGCACCAGAGGTAGGAAGTGTTGAGCGACGGGCAAAAGCACGGTTGGTAGTGTTGGGTTTTGAGGATCCTGATTTGTCCACTGTTCCACGGGATGCTCCAACACTAACAAAAGATGGTCGTCAACTCATCCTACAGCTGGTGGCATCCAAACGTTGGGATTTGTTGAACTTCGATATTTCCACAGCCTTTTTAAAGGGAAAAGGAGATGGCCGGGCACTTGGTCTACATGCTCCACCCGAGATGAAAAGTGAACTTCAAATGAAAGAAGGCGACCAATGCCTTCTAAAAGGGGGGGCGTATGGCCGTATCGACGCTCCATACCTCTGGTACTGTGAACTCAGAAAGGCACTGGAGGAGTTGGGTTTTGTTGCTTGTCCTTTTGACGGTTGTGTGTTTAGTTTGGTTACCCAAAAGAAAAATGGAAAACCAGAGGTTAGGGGCATGTTAGGAGTGCATGTCGATGATGGCATAGGAGGTGGAGACTCCTACTTCAAGGCCACTCTTCAGAAACTCAGGGATCGTTTCAGTTTTGGGGCATATAATGAACATGAGTTCGACTTTTGTGGGGTTCATTACAAACAATGGGATGATGGTACAATTGAGATGGATCAAAAGGGGTATCTCAAAGGAGTGGAACCAATTAATGTCCCGAAAACTAGAAGACAAGAACCTGAGTCAGAACTGAATGAAACCGAAAGATATCACCTTCGAGCTCTGTGCGGAAGCATACAATATGCTGCTGTACACACCAGACCTGATCTGGCGGCAAAGGTAGGACAGTTACAGTCATGCATTCCCAGGGCAAAGGTCAAAGATCTCCTAGAAGCCAATCGAGTGCTTTATGAAGGAAAGCGCCATCATGTGTGTATCATGGTGGTTCCCATACGAATAGAAGATTTGACCTTCTGTGCCTTTTCAGATGCCTCATTTGCAACTGCATCAAATCTGCAGTCCCGACAAGGGACACTGATATTTACAACAGACAAGAATCTTGCAGAGAATAAACGTGCCGTTGTCTGTCCAGTGGCTTGGAGCAGTCGTAAGATACCAAGGGTTGTGACTTCAACTCTTAGCGCAGAAGCTGTTGCTTTAAGTTCAACACTGGACCGTCTAGGCTTTTTGAGGCTGTTCTGGGAATGGGTCAAAGACCCAAGCGTGGACTGGACATGTCCGGACAAAATTCTGAAAGAGGCACCTCGGTGCAATGCAGTGACAGACTGCAAGTCTGTTTACGATATCGCATCGAAGCAGGCTCCACCACAGTGCTCAGAACATAGGACGTTGCTGGAATGCCTTTTAATTCGAGAGCGATTGCAAGAAAACATCTCATTACGGTGGATAGCAACACAGGCAATGCTAGCCGATTCACTGACTAAGAGCATGGATGCCAGTTTGTTGCGTGAATGTCTCCGTACAGGTAAGTATAGCCTTTTTGACGAAACAGAAGTGCTGAAACAAGGGGTTAACCGCCGTGAGAAGTTAAAGTGGCTGCATGGAGAACAGGATGGACAGAATGAATCATAAAGGGAACACTGTCTTCTGAAAATTTCAATTTTTGGATTTTTGACGAGTGTTGTTTTGCCAACTTGAGCCATGATTCACTGTCCATCATGTCCATTCCATTTCGCCGGCCTCATTGGACACCTTCCAGTGGTGGGAGGGTTGAGGATATTGAGCCATCAGCAAGGACAAAGGCAGCTGGGTTTAGGGCAGGACAGGGTTCCCCCAAATCTATTGGAGTAGATTCAGAATATATATATATACATATTGGAGATATCATGGGATGTGCATAACTTAACGTCAGTACACATCCCAATGATATCTCCCACATATCCCATTCACTCAAGATGTGGGAGACCCAACATGTCTGATTAGGCCTGTTTTTTTTTTGCAGGCACCCGATCACCGATCTTTTCAAACACACCCATGTTGCTACTTTGCAAGGAAAACCAAGCATGCAGCATGATCCGAACCATCATCAAAGCCCATGGTGGGATCTGCGTGTTTGAAATGGATGGTTTGGAACTGTGGTATCACAAAATGTCCTGTGTGTTTGGTTGTGAAAAAGAACCCGGTCCCTGGTTCTCCCAACCTCCGATCGTTGGATCATCGCAGAAGCTGGTGTGATGGGAAATCCCATTGAGGATGTGAATACCTGCAGGTGCAAGTGTGGTTGGACATAAACCCTGTTGCTTAAAAGTTGAAATCCCGAGAACTATTGGCACTATTGGCCTGGCAAAGATCACCTTAGATGTAAGTGCAGATCCAAGTTGGACCAGGGGACCAGTGGAGAGTGAGACATTCCAGGCTTGTGAGTGTCTTCTATGGGTGGGCTTTCTGGACTGGAAGAGGCCTGGAAGAACTCGCAGAGGACCGAGTTGTTGGGGTAAACGCAGCGAAAAAAATCTGGATGGGCAGATCATGCTTAAGATGATGAGTATACTACTATAGAATCATTGAACATCATTCTTAGATCAGTTTTTGAGATTTATGGTATTGTTTTTTTTTTATATACTGTATTTATGGTCAACAATTAGTGTATTTCGATCCACATGTTTTGCAACACTTTGAAGGGTGAATGTTGCGACAAATCGCAGGAAGGGTGGCTCTCACCGGCCAGTGGTCACGAGGTCGGAGAAATGCGAATCAGTGATTGATTTGGAGCGAGGTGGTCATTAGTATCCGCTAATCAAACATAGCTGGATAATCCACGAGTTCAATGTTTTTCAGCTATGAACATTGTCACACCTCCATTTAGTTCGGGGATTTCCCAGCCATGTTTGATTACCGGAGGGTATCCATCCAAAAGATGGCAGTAGGTCTTGGGGGAGCGGTTGGGAACCAGAGATAATCGGAATCCATCAAAATCTATAGTCTATACAAGTGGGGAGCATTGTGGAGGCCCGGGTATGCTTGAAACCGCTGGGTGGGATTTGTTTTTTCGGCTGACGATTGCACTACTGGGATGATCTAAGAATTTTTTTGTGCACGCGATTAGATTCCATAGTAACTGGGGCGTGTATTTCTTCTAAGACCTACAATATCTGGGACGAAGGCACACCTGGAGGAATGCTCACTTGGATGTGCGGAATTTGCCAGTTTTTGATAGTTTTTCGTGGTTTTCGTGGTTTTCGTCGTTACCTGATGATTGTAATTGCCTGTTTCCTGGGGTGACATGCCATTTGCATCTCAGCATCATGGCCACTCCGGAGCTACTCGTACTGATATGCAAATGCAAGTATGGTCGACTGAAATGTTTTACATCCCCACAATGACAGGATGATTCTCAGGGATTCGCATGTGTTTCGCGTGACTGGTGATTGCACAGCTACAGCTACAGTGGATCATTTATTATCATTCCCAAATGATCAGCGTACTTGTTTTTTACAGCATGTTTCTCCGCCTAGCCTCCCTACAGCCTACAGCCTCCCTAAAGCCTCCCTTGTAGTCGTCAAATAGCCGTTGGGCAAAGCCTTCCTTTTTTGTGTGCACCATACAAATGACACCGCTACACCCCCTCTGTTTGATGGTTGATATCCCTTTTGAATCCAAACTCCAAGGAATTTCTGGGTCCGGGTCCTCTGGGAACAGTTGGATATTAATCCCGAGGAAATATGTGGTAAACCATTGACATATCATTTTGTCTAAGTCATATATCATTTTGATTTATTTTGTCTAAGTCACATTGACAATGTAGTAAACCACAGATCACAGATCGCTCATGAGCCCTTTTTTCGTAGGACCGGAACACCTGGCGTTTTCAAAATGGCTTTCTCTGGCAGGTGCAGCCCCTACAGATTTTTCATCAACCACTGCCAAATACCTGGCACCGTGGCACTACAGAAACAGGATAGGACATTATACCCTCTGGTAATTTAACATAGCTATTGAAAATGGCCATTTATAGTGGATATTCCCATGAAAAATTGTTATTTTCCATAGCTATGTTAATTTACCAGAGGGTATATACAGTGTTATATGTGATGAGGCAAACCCCAAAAAAAGATAGAAAAGCACATTCCCACAGAAATAACGGTAAGATACAGGTTCTATCTTTTTGGGCTTTGCTACATATATGTATATAAGTATATTATAATTGTAGATAATTATGTACATATAAGATCAGTGTCTTTTTCTTTCGCCAAAGAGTAAGCTGGCAAAGCCATGACAGTTTCTTACTCTGTCTGCATGAATGTGTATGAGTCAATCTGTTGATCTGGGGGACATGTCCATGTCCGAATACCTGTTGAGCCTGCATACCTGGCTACAAATTGAGGGCCTTGCCAACAATTTGTGCATGTGGGCTTGTCTGAAAATAGTGGCGACCCCAAATTTGCAGGTTCATCATCACTTTCCCTGTTGAAACAACAATCGTGGGGTATACACCAGTTTCAGACAAATCCAACTACTCAAAAATTGGTGATACATCCGATGATATTCTCATTATTCCATTATTGCTGGTTATGCCATGTCATATCCCCTCTTTATTGTTGATTTACTATTCCCAATTCCCAATTGTTGTTTCTTACACACTTTTGGGCACCAGAAACAGGTTCCCTGTGGCGATCTCAGCTTTTCCATCTTCAGGTATGAGTTTGCTCAAGCCTTCTACCTGGCTTGGCCGAGTTTCGAATCTTTTCTGTTGGTTTTGGTGGCCACCATCATGAGAGCCCTGACCATCATTGCCATCGAATCCGTTGCTTGGTGGTTGGCATCCCCCCGGTCATTGAACCTGCCTGGGGAATCCCTTAGAGGTTTGAATGGGAAAGTCATAGGGGATTTTCCAGCAAGCCGGGGTCACCGGAGGCTAACTGTGGACATTCAGCATTTTTCGATCAAAAAATGTGGGTCGGAGTCAGAGGCTAAATATGGCTATCTCACTACTCTAGTTCCCTGGAAACCCTGTGGTTCGCATCTTATGCCTTGGACCGCAACCACATCAAGAATTCGAAACAACTAGCAGAATACAGCTCTCGACTCAGGGTTGAACAACCCATAGATTGCTATATTACAATATATATATAGTATACATGTGCATCAATATACGCTGTAAGTCATCGAATCCATACTTGCTTGATAGCAGAACATGGATTTGCAGTCCATGTCCTGCTTGGCTAGGCCTACGCAGATGAACCCTACTCAGTAGATGAGGTGGGCTCAAATGATTTTGGGAGATTCGCCAGTTTGCTTAGCTACATGAGGGTTGGTGTTTTTGAGTAAATTTTTAATTGTCTAGCAACTACGGTGGGGAAGAATTGACAACTGATTGGCTTATATTTTTGTTTCTCAGCCAAATTGAAAATTGGAGATCTCTACGCATCTCAAAACCTTAAGTCAGTGTTAGTTCCATGTAGCCTGAGAGGGGGCTGACATTCCGACATGTGGTTTGTTTTTTGGTGCGAATTCTTCCAGATTGCACCGTCTTTGCTTTTGGAGGGATGTTTTGTTTTGTAATTAGGTACCGTGGAAATGTCGCTTTTTGTTTCCTTTGACCATGACTCCTAGCTTTCAAGGGGTGTTCTGACAGAAGCGTTTTCGACCATTTCCAGCATGTTTGTTCTTTGTTTTTTCTTTTTTCGTTGAATCCTTTGTCCATCATGTGTTTTCACCTTTTTGTACAATTTTGTACATTTGTTTCAAGTTTTACCCTTTTCCTTGATTTACCCTTTGGTAATCCAACATGACATAGCTATGGAACATGGCCGGTTTGTAAATGATTTCGCCTTCAACAAATGGTGGTTGCCCATAGCCGCGCCCTATGACCTGCCAGGAGATGTCGTCCCTAGGCCTTGCCACGTTGCTGGGCGGCCTGTGTGGCGGGGTGCCGATGAATGCCACGAGCGCCATGACGGATTTGAACAAGGAGGGCATTAAGGGCGACCCGCTGGCTGCCAGATATACGGTGCCTTTGGCCGACCTGTTGGATCTGTTGGTTTGTTGGTTTTGTATGGTTTTGTTGGGAGGGGGTGGCTTGGTGCCGTGGTGTGACTTGTTTTGTTTTGGGGGAGGAAGGTGTAATAGGTGTAAGTTGGTGTAAGGGTGGGAGTAGATCTGAGAATGATTGATGATGTATGTAATCTTCCATATACTATGAGGTTTTGGGGATATATATATATATAACTACCAAATATGGGGATTCGGAATATGTGTTGACCATCTAGGACACTTTTTTGGGGCAGGTGTAAGGTAAGGTTTGGAGAGATATATCACAAGAAAACAGTGGCATTTGACACTCAAAGGGTTTACCAACCAAAATCAATGTGGATAATGTGGTCATAGGATTGAATGATAGTCACTGATAGTCTGAATGATTTGCAGCGACCTAGACGACCTAGGGACGACCTAGTCATATCCCATACCGAGTGAATCAGTCGGAGAAGATGAGGAGCCCCCCATTATCACATGGAGATTCGGCCATGTTTCTCAGGTCCGAACCATGCTCCCCAGACTTGGTTGATGGGAAATGTTGCAACCAGAAGAACCCATCCTTGATCTGGTTGATGGTGACTGGAACATGTTTTATTTTTCAGAGGGGTAGGTATATCACCTATAAACCATAGTGAAATTGAACTTATTTTCCATAATATATTGGGAGATCTTCATCATCCCAACTGACGAACTCCATCATTTTTCAGAGGGGTAGGTATACCACCAACCGGTGATGGTTCATAAAAAACACAAACGCTTCTTGCTGATGTCATGGTCATGTTCATTAAATCAATCCATTGAATACTGGGGCCTCCCAAGACAAGCTAGAAAAGCCCACTTGAGAGGTGCTGAGACATGGGCTTTCTTGATGGAAGCGTCATCCGTCTCAGAGCATCATTTTCTCAGATTGTTTTTCATATATTTTCTCAGAGGACATGATATAAATACATATATAAACACAAGGAAACCGGAAAACTGTGGGTTTTCAGGTTTTCACAACCGGGTTTTGACCATGCTCAGCATATCTCAGCATTCCCCATGGACCAGGTGGCCATTATCACCCTGCTGCACTTGGGGATGCCACTTCTCCAGATTGGCTTGGGAGCTCTGAACATTCCTAGCTCCCCGAAAAAAAGATGATACCCTTCCTTTGTCGCCTACAAAAATAAAGGCCCACATCGGATTTGTTGATTCGTCCCCATATCGGGCCCCATATCTATTCATTGAATAGTATAAATAGGGATTGGAACTAGATGGAACTAGTATAAATATAGTTTTTAAGAGTTTTTTGAGGCATGGAAGGTGATGTTAGGGTGATGGAAGGCATTTCCAGATTTCCTTTTGGGCTTCCCAAAAGGATTGAACAGATTTGAAAAGGATTGAACCCTTCAAATTGAATTTTCATGATTATTTGCCTGGCTTTTTTTTGGGGATTTCGCCTGACTCTTAGCGGATCGGTGCCTTGGGTCGTTTCGGCCCAGTGATCCCCGAGTCGTATCGAGTCGTGCGTCCCGATCAGGTGGGGCTCTGGCATTCCATTGGTGGACTATCTGCCCAGGTTTCTCCTGGGAGGTCTTCTGATGCAGACACTGGACATGCAAAGATCAAAGGGTTGAGAAATATGAAGAGATCCAGCTACTTGGTGGCTTATCCCACTTAGTAAGTGGGTTATAACCCCAGTTATAAATGGGATAAGTAGGGTTAATCCACTTATAACTGGGGTTATAACCCACTTACTAAGTGGGATGAACCACCAAGTAGTAAGCTAGTATTGGCTGGCTTGTGGTGATATTCTATGATATTCTATCCTAATCCTTTTGTGCATTCGCAGGATTGTATGATCAGTATGGTTTTGGCATGTAAAATGGCAGTAATAATTCTCTTTCCAGGACTTGGATCAGGATATGATGTCAGTTTGGGATTATCCCCAATGACTAGCATATCTTATCTTTCCTATTCTTTCCGAAAGACGCTACATTGACTTTTTTTCCCGCTTGCCAGTACCATGAATTGGATCATGTTTATGGCCACGATCCCCATTTCCTGGTTGACCTCAACAACATTTCCATTGTCTGAAGTGCTTGAAGGTAGCATGTGCAGCAACATCTCATATTTGGCGGATAAAAGCCGTGGTTTCCAACATATATATATATATAATATAATATTATATATTGATTTATAGGGGTCCCCCCCAAAAAAACAACTCTTTTCAAGGATGTTGTAGATTTGTAATGGTTGTCAGCTTTCCAACTTTTCTAATTGTGGTTCACCTCAGGAATCGTAAGTGGGTTAGTTCACCCTAGTATTAAGATGTTATAAGTGGACTAACCCTACTTACCCTACTGGATCAACCGGGGTTATAACCCACTTACCATTCGGTAATCAAACATGGTAACAAAAAATGCACCATTGTTGGTTCCTATGGACCTCCATTTAGAAGATATGTCCCAGCTTGCCATTTTTCTCTTGACACCGGATGGTTTGTTGCAAGATAAGAGACCGCTAGCCTGTACAAGGCAATCAATTTCCTTACAAATCCATAGAATATTGTTGTTGCTAAAAAACATCCATTTTACATGGGCTGAACCACGAAGGCACCCACTTAGGGGCACCCAAAACATCTCAAGATATCTTCAGGATGGGGGGCGGCATGCTGATGGACTGGGCTTTCCTGGTGACCCGCCGGCTTCAAAGGCAGGGCGTGACATGCCATGCCATGATCAAAATGGCGCAGATCGAAGAAACATGTGATCATATGGAAACATATGTAAAACTATGGAAAACTGAATTCTAATTGGTGAGCTAGTTCAATCAAGTTGAACTCACTCCATGGCTCATCTACCAGAAATCGGAAGTGGGAACATGGCCGAAAAGATGATCGTTTCCCCGTGGGTAGATTTTTGGCATCTTCCTGGGGCCTGGGAGCCATGGGAAATCACTGGTTCAAAGCTCAACATCTTTTGCAAAACAATGAAAAACAAATGTTTTTCCATGTGTTTCCAAGCTGCTTGGAAATGTATCCCCCAGGAGTGGCCGCATGGTGATTTGGTGATTTGCTTGGGTTATAAAATGTTATAAACCCATCGAACTATACAGTAACATACAGTAACCATAAAGCACCAGAAACCCCACCACCATTCACCATAATGTCAACCCGGGCCCGCAGTGCCTGCATGACAGCCTGCCTTACTTTCGCCTGGTGCACCTAGGAGTGGCCGCATGGTGATTTGGGGCATGATCCTGACGTCGTTGTTCAGCGACATGACCCGCGGCATCGCCTGTGGCACCGTCGTGGCGCTGGGCTTTGTGATCATCCGCTTCTCGAAGCTGGAGGTGCGGCCGGGATGGGAAAACATGGGCCTGGGGTTGTGCCAAGAAAACATGGGAAAACATGGGAAAACACCAGAAATTGAGGTGCAATCTAGTTGGCCCTCACTGCCATGGAACATAGATTGAAGACACAAAAGAAAAACCAGGGGTTTCATCATGTTTTATATATGTTTATATATATATATGGTTTTTTGATGGTTCGGTGTTTTTTGGTCCTATTAAGTGGGTCAACCATTTGGTGTCCCTTGAGCTTTTTGTCGGTCCATGAAATCCTGGGGAATGTGGCTGTGGCGAATCGTCTGTTTTTGGGTAAAAATTACCATCAGTTTGATGGTTTTTCAATAGACTTATCCATGTTTATCATCATCAATTTATATCAATTTATGGGTTTTGAAAAATGTTTATCCATGTTTATCCATGTTTATCCATCATCAATTTATGGTCCATGTTTCCCCTAAAGTTTTCCCCAAAGATGTTTCCCAATAACCCATGACCACCCCTTTTTGTGGCACACCATTGTCAGACGCACCCCTTGCGACCTGCCTGGTGAGGTCTTGAAATACCACGTGTGTGGCCTCTCGTCGGAGCGTTATGATGTGACAAGTTGTCAACTCGGTCCCTTTCTGGGGATCAGGTCGCTAGGTCACTAGGTCACTAGGTCCCTAGGTCACTAGGTCACTAGGTCAGCAGGTCTCAGAAATGATGATTGTAGTGATACGCTGATACACTGATTTGTGGTGTTTAAATATGTTCAATATGTTTGAACATGTTCAACGATATTTGGACGACGATCCCCAATAACTAGTGAAATCACCAACCAGCAATACTGATATAAGGGAGACGCTGCCAAAATGATCTTACCTCAGGTCTGTGAATTAGATTGACATCCAGAGCAACTTTAGTCCTTATTCCTCTTAAAAGATAGGACCATGCAAGCGAAATTTGGTAGACACATCAATCTCCATTTTTGTTGGTTTGGTCAATTTCCATGTTTCATAGTATTTTCATCAATTAAATCGACATTGTTGCTGGTGATAGGTGACATTTCCCCTCGTGGTTGTTGGACCATCCGCCAACGCACCGGATTGGACGAGGGGTGCACTTCCGCTCGGGGGAGTTGTACAGCAGTGCTCAGCGCGCCATCTTGAAGAAGTACGGAGATCAAACCGAGGCACTGCAAAGTCATGAAGGTTCCCGAAATCATCCAAGTCGACCATTTTCGCATTGAAACCAGTGGGGATTCTCCATTTTAGGAAACCTCTGTCGAGATTTCAGGGTCGAACCTTCCCCCCCAAAAAATGGGGGGGGTTAACTAACCCGTCTTTCGGAGTTGAACCAACCAGTCATTAGTAGGGATTCGGGATATAGCTGGGATATTGGTTGGGATATACTGGAGACATAATTGGTTGGATGTCTTCAGATTTTCAGGTTGAATTTCATCTTTTGTTTTATGGGATTTAGGCAAGGAAAATGTGGCAAGATGGAAATACAATGGGGATAAATTGTCCACATGTGTGGTTTAATGGCTTAAACATGGTTGGGTTTAGCCATGAAATGAAGGTTGTTCAACCATAATCCTAGGATTTCTAGATCTATGTCTTAAACATGATCAAACAATGTTTGTGAAGTAAAGATTTACATCCATCTAGTATTTTTGGAATTGAGCCTGGGTCCAGGGACTGAGTCAATCTGTGTTTGGTGGGTTGCAGTAATGGCAAATTGTCAAACATACTCTTGTAGATATTTGTTTCTGCCATACCTTCTGTACGCGCTGTATATAGTATATACATGGGAGGATGGACTAGTCGCTCCAGCTCATCTTTGTAGGGTATTTGAATTGTCTAAGTCTAAATGCAGAATCGGGTGATCGGCCCTTTGACCATAGATATCGTTATCTACAATGTGAAGCCCCCCTCGGAAAATGTGTTTGTTTCACTTCATGAAACTATAGATTTATTCTAAACCAGCTTGCCAATGTTGTTTGGTTGGATTCCTCACTTTGGTATATTTTGGTTGTTTTGAACTCCCATATTTTCCTTGGCGCAACCATTTAAATCCATTTTGGCGGCTTGAATCCCAATTTGGGTTCAAACCAACATTCCAGTTTGAGTTTGATAAATTTTTCATCCATCAGAATTGGTTTGAGGTCCCAATGAATGGTGTATCAAAAACAACGAAAAACAATTTTTAATGGGAAAATCCACTATAAATGGCAATTTTCAATAGCTATGTTAGCCATTACCAGAGGGTAAATGGTGTATCAAAAACAGCATAAAACCACCGTTGAAATCCTGCAATCGGCAGGTGGTGGGGCTCACAGGTTTCGTCTTCGAAGGAGTGGCCATTTCCTTGGCGTTGTATCTCAAGGACGGCAGCAGGGCAGGGCAGCAGGGGTGGCGCGGCTGCGTTTTCGGTGTCTGTGGTTTCTGGAAGAATGTGGTTCGCTTCGGATAGGTTACCTACTATATCCCATAGGATCCATGCATGGTATATTTGCTAACATTTGGGGTATATTGATGGTAAATGTTACCATATATGGCATACATGGATCCTATGGGTATAGATCCTAATAGCTTGGAGGATCATCAGTTGCTAGGTCAGGTTCGGAAAAACTTGGAGGATCATCAGTGACCAATACATTACCCAACCATTCTCCAACGACTTCGGTAATCAAACATGGCCAGCTGGGACCACACCGGAGGGTGCCATGATATCCCAATGATTATCCCAATGATATCCACAACACATAAAACTCCCTACCATTATTCCCATGATATTCCCATGATATTCCCATGATATTCCCATATATATATATACGTATATATTAGTTATTATCCCTATAAATCCCTATTGTTGTTGGTTAAAACATTTAAAACATCCATTTTACAACGATGGCCAGCTTGCAACACAGCAACACGCAGCATAAATTCCGCTGCAGGAGACCATCCGACATCCGGATGGGGAGAAGCCCAAGAGGTTGCTGATTTGGGTCGGCGAAACGGGAGAACATAACGATCGACACTGTTACAACGAGCAGATGTATTGGAGGTCATCCCCACAAACAATAATCATCAAAAACCATCAGCAACGAACTCCTCAGCGGCATTGACGTCAATGCGTCATTTCCCGACAAAATTTCCCCGACTTGAAACCAAAGTGGTGATTTTCTGACGTCGGCCCCAGGTTGATCATCGATTGTGCGGCCTGTCAGGGCATCAATGACTCTGCTATGTCTCACTTGGCCAAAGTTGCGCAAGATTGCAGAGATAATGGCACCACGGCGGAAGGATTTTATTTTGGTTTTCAATTTTTTGGGAGAAGGGCGAATCACTGACAAGTGCATACACATACCATAGTTGGGGTTATTATCCACTAATGATACATAAAGGGGGTTATGAGGTTAATGGATACAATGATCCAAATTGTATGTTTCAGTACCAAGATGTACCAAGAGATACTGTAGCAATAGCGACTCCAAACGTTTGATGCTTTCACAACACTTTCAAATGTCTACACATTTCCAACCTCTGACTCCGAAAACCTACAAATTCGATGCATTCACAGCCGCATGCCGCACATCTCAATTTCGACCAGCCCTGAGGCGTGCAGCTGGTCTTTTGCAGTTTGAGTCCTTATGATGAGGTCCTTGGGGACTTCTCAGAAAAAAAAGGGGGGTGGCCGAAGATGTTTTTTAAAGATTTCTGGGCATTTATGGGAAGAAACACTCGGATACTCAGCTTTACAGTACCATTTAGGTCAAAAATCACTCTTGCTGAAGGGTCATTTTGGTCATTTTTGTGCGGTACTGATTGGTCGAAGGCCGCGAACCAGTTTCAGATGCCACCCACCCCTTGTCGACAATTTAATTTTTTCCTCAAGCACTTGAGGGTGTGGCATGTTTGGAATGTCGCTACTTGTGTAGGAGTACCCATCATTTCTGGCACACTCAGTTCAGGAATTTGTAGGCTCAGGTTTAGTGTGGCGATGTTGTTCTTCAGTTTGCATGTTCACCAACAATGGTTTCAGTACAGGCAGATTGTCCCAGTATCATTATTAATTGTCAGATGATTTGCAATTTGTACATGGCTGTATCATGCTGCATTTTTTTTAGTGGCATGTAGCTGTTGGTCAAAAAAAGCTATTGTATTGCTATTGTACCATATTGTACCCATGTTAGTTTACTTGGAAGAATGACCAGCGGACCAGCGGTTCCCCGCGCCTGAGCGCCATGTAATCCGATGTGAATCATATGCCGCCCATGGCTGGATCATCTCTACATGGTCGATCTGTAACTGCCAGAAGTGACAGATAAGGATATACCCTCTGGTTATGACTAACATAGCCATGGTATATATAGATGGCCCATAGAAATAGATGGTTTACCGAACTTAATAGCATGGTGATTTTCCATGGCGAACTGTTAGTCATAACCAGATGGTAACCAGCTAAATCCGACATGTTTGTTGATACCGAAGTGCCTGTTTTTGCAGGTACAATCGCCATAGATGTCGTTTTTCCTATGGGTTGGGTAACAGACCGGCCCGCAGCAATTTTCCCGATTGCCAATAGGACATTCTGTTCAACTAAACGTGTGACTAAACCCACTGAGTAACTGATGTCGGTGGTTAAAAATCACTTAAAAATCCCTATTCTTGCGGTAAAAGCACCAGTTTGCTGATCCTTGAGTCCAATTTTTTACAGGAAAGAATGAGCATTTTTAGGCCCTAATCGGCCTGGTAACCTGGTAGGACTTGCTTCGAAGCTGGGCTCTGGAGGGCGATGGCTGTCGCTGGGCAGAGGATGTTGGGTCGGTGGGGTAGCAGTGGAACAGTAGATGTTGGGTCAATGTTTAAGGATATGGAGGTTTCCATAAATGGGTGGTACCCCAAAATGATGGTTTACAATGGAAAATCCCAATCTAAAATGGATGATTTGGGGGTACCCCCCATTTATGGAAACCACCATATGTTTAAGCATATACCTATCTGTCCATTTTTTGAGGGCAAAGGTTTTGTTAAAGAATATGCATCGATTTTCTCTGATCTCTGGGGGTTGATGAATTGTATAGATGTTTTGATGAATTGTTCTGGAATCAGATCTGGTTTGATCCCATCATCCCATTTGGGGATGAGCCTTTTGCTGTGGATTTTTTGCCAACATCTTAGCATCGAGATGTACCAGACTTGATGTCCAAAAATCATGGCTATCTCAGATGTCAAAGAAATAGTGCAATTTTGCAAAAGTGAGTTGAGTTCAACTCAACTTCAACCATGAAATTCATGGAGTACTGCTACACCAGACCGGTCACATCCGGTCACTAAGTTAATGCACTAAGTTGTTAGTAAGTTCCATAGGTCAACAAAAACTGACCGGCAATGGTCATCGACTTACCAACGGAAACATTTATGTCTTATGACTAACAATTATTTATTATAATTATTATTACACATTCTTATATAGTTACCCTCTGGTAAACTAACATAGCTATTGAAAATGGCCCATTTATAGTTGATTTACCCATTAAAAATGGTGATTTTCAATAGCTATGTTAAATTGCCAGAGGGTAGTTCCCCAGGTTAGTAGGTTAATGACCTATGGAATCCTCATGGTTAGCCCACTTATGACTGGCCTGACTGGCTTGTGATTTTTTGCGGGAGCTCTCGGGGATGATCAAATCAACCATGTTGGCAGCTGCATTTTTTAAAACCATCCCATTTTTTGCGATAAACATACTAGTATATATAATACAGTATATATATGTATATATATATTATAATATGTATATATATAATATATAATGATATGTGTGTCTATATCTATATTTATATATTAATATATATATGATAGTAATGATTATATATTGATAATACTATCCCTTTGCTTAAATCATCCCCACATGTTCATGTTGAATCTCGAATCTCGCGAAGACCACCATAGAACTATGATCCACTCCAGTTTTGATGCTTGAAACGACACAATTTTGTGATGAAGTGAAACCATTTCAAAGGTCAAATCACAATCTTTCCTGTGTTTTATCTTCATTGTTTATGGTCACAAGCCACTTTGAGACTAAAGATCACTATATGAATGAACAACTTGTTAAATCACCATGTCTTTACGGTGTTTTATCACCATGTTTCCATGATTCCTCCATTTTTCCAGTGTTTGATCTCCATTTTTGATACGCAAAACCTCCCATGTTTGAACGTTTAAAGACCATCCTTCCATGGGCGTCATTTAGGTCGCATCGCGGCCTCGGTGACGCAAGCGTTGTCGGAAGCCGAGCGGCAAACTCTGGAGGAGATGCAGCAGCCGGTGACGCCGGTGGAGAGGACCCGGACATACCCGGAGCCATGGGGGGTTCATCCGAAAAACATGGAGAGTTTTTTGTGGGATCATTGGGATGTAGAATGGGAATATGATGGGTATATCACATATATATATAAATTGGTGGATTTCATGGGATTTCTGTAAAATGGGACACCAAATGGGATAATGCTGATATAACCAAAGAAATAGTAGTTTACCCTTCAAAAAAGACAATGAGGGTTGGCTATCAAAATGGCCCAGATGGTTTTTCTTCATGTTACATTTACCAAGTTATGATGTTCCATAATGTTAAATGTTATGATTCAGTCATATGATTTTTGCTATCATAGGTTTCTCATGATTTACCAATGACTTATGATTTAAAATTTGGCATCCCTAGCCCTGTCCCAGGACGACGGACGAACCGAGCAAGGTGCGCGCGCTGACGCGCTGGCTGGGACCGGAGAAGGCACAGGACCTGCTGAGTTTCTCGGCCTCAAAGCGGGCCCCGGCGGAAACCATAGGAAAACCATAGGAAAACCATAGGAAAACCATAGGAAAACCATAGGAAAATAGGGCTAGAACTATGAAACTATGGGGATTCATGGCTGATTTAGCTCAGTTGGTTGAATTCACAGGACACATGGTGTTATTTAGCTTAATCTTATATAATTACAATTGAACATATTTGGGATCATCATACTGCATTCAGTTGGTATGAACCCAAACATAATAAAATTCAGTGGATCTAGTTGAAAGAAACATGCAATATAGTTGGAATGGAACAGGAATATAATGGGACATAGACATATGTATATATATACTGTATACATCACCAACAATATCATTTGGAGAAGGCCACACGGGTGTTTCTCTTAATTAGGGTTATGAGTCCAACAGCACAGAGAATACAGGATTTCATAATAGAATAACATAAAAACAAACTAGAGCAAACAAAAACAACGAACCAGAAAACCAAAAACAAGAAACACAACAAGAAACAAAAACAACAAAAACAACAAAAAAACAAAAACAACAAAAACAACTGAGGAAAATCCAGGTTTTGTTTTGTTTTTTATTTATTGTTTTGGGTGTGTGTGCGTGTTTCTTGTTTTGTTTTTTTTTTTCTGGTGAATCTTCCTGTCGGGTTGTTTTTGTTGCTACTTTCTCTGTTGAAGCCGGGGTCATAAAATTAGGGACAAAACCATGGGTGTCTTGGGCAAATCTGACGATTTTTGGTGGGTAAAATGGCGTATTCATTTTTTTGGTTATGTGTTATGTGCATTCCACTTGGTAAAGTGAGCAGACACGCTTTGCTAACGAAGTTAGACGTGGGATATTAGCCTATATGGGTTGTATATGGGTTATTAACCATTCACAAACTGGGATGCACCCCCCGAGGATGCTCACTGGTTCTGCAATATGTACCAACATCCAACAAAAGGGCCCCGTCATGTAGGTAAATACTTCATACAAGAGCATGACCATTGGAAACAAATAGGGATACATAGTGGCTCTGTGTTGGATGTTTGATGATGTGGATGGTTTTGCAAAAATGCCCAACCGTGGGATTTACCAACCATATGTACATGTACTGTAGGTATTTCATTTCATGGTATTTAATTATGATTAATTATTATGTCACATAGGTATTTCAGAAACCACCTATAAGAATAAGGAGTTAGACGGGGATTATTGCAGGTTTCATGTCGATCAAACAGAAAAACCTTCAGGGCAAAAAGCCTGGAATGAAACCGTCGCTGGCGATTCAACCCGCAAAGGTGGCTGGATTTTTCCAGAGAACTAAAGCTTCATCAACAGTTCGG